AGGCTCCTGGAGAGTGGAAACCCTTTTTCCCTATGTGGCTCTGTGTATGTACATACTTACATACACACACACACACACACACACACACACACATACACACATGCACACAGAGAGACCTTACTGTATGCTTGTGAAACATGGACCACTTATAAATGCCATCTCCAACTCCTCGGAAGATTCCATCAATGGTGTCTCCGAAAATTTTTACACATCACTTGGGAAGACAGGCGAACTAATGCCAGTGTACTGGCAGAAGCAAATATCACCAGTGTCAAAGCGATAATTCTTCAACATTAACTTCGTTGGACTGGCCATGTTGTGAGGATGGCTGATTATCGTTTCCCAAAGCAACTACTCTATTTCAAACTTAAGAATGGAAAGTATAATGCCGGTGGTCAGCAAAAGAGGTTTAAAGATTCTCTCAAGGCAAATCTTAAAAAAAATGTAGTATAAACACTGACAACTGGAAAACACTGGCCTGCGAGTGCTCCACTTGGAGAACAGCCTTTACCAAAGGTGTCGTGGGTTTTGAAGATGCTCAAACTCAGGACGAAAGGGAGAAACGTGCTAAGAGGAAGGCACGTTTGGCAAACCGTCACTGTGATTAACTGCTGTCTGGAAACCTATGTCCCCACTGTGGAAGGACGTGTGGATCCAGAATTGGCCTCCACAATCACTTACGGACTCACTGTTAAGACCGTGTTCATGGAAGACAATCTTACTCGGTCACGAGTGATTGCCAAAGAAGAAGAAGAATACACACACACGAGAGAGAGAGAGAGAGAGAGAGAGAGATGATGCTGTTGTTATGGACTGCATTTCTGTACATGCTGAAAAGGAGCCTCTGTGCTCCCCTGTTCTCTCCCTACTGCCCAGCTGTAGGGCATCGTGTCCCCCCAGCTTTGTTCCTCCAGTCCAAATACATGCAACAACACCCCCTCGTTTGGAACCCTGCTTAAATAATATCCCAAGGCCCACTGGGGACTCACCTATGGTCAAGTCATGGACTGCTGTGAACCGCTTATCTGTGAACTGTAACAAGAGGCAGGATTTTCCAACACCTTGGGAAAAAAGAAAGAAAATAAATTCAGAACCTGTTGTACAAAAAACAAAAACAAAAAAACCCCTGTGATCAGTGGTGGCTGGTGCCCATTGAGACCCGTAGGATGGAAGGAGAAAGGCCCACAAATGCCAGTGCCGAACAGAGACACCTAACTCTAGCTTTGCTCCCAGCTGAGTTCTACAAAGGCAACACCTGCAACAAGGAGGAAGCCCACAGGCAGTGCTGTCCCTGGTGGAGGCTGGCAGAAGGCCAACTGATGTTTATTTTTGTTTTAATTTTATTTATTTATTAAATTTATATACTGCCCTTTATCCAAAGATTCCAGGGCAGTATACAACATTAGGAACTTAATTTACGCGGCGTAATAATAAAAAAAATAAGACACCGCATAATCATCAAACAATTGTAATAACAGCCCCCCCCCCCATTTAACAGGCCATAGATTGTTTAACGGCCAAAGGCCTGAGTAAAGAGGACTTAATGTCATGTAATGATGGCGCTGGGCGAGCCTCTCTGGGGAGAGCATTCCACCACAGAAATGGCTCATTCTCATGTTGCCATCCTCTGAACCTCTCGGGGAGTGGGGACATAGAGAAGGGCTTTGGATGACAAGCAGAGGGTCTGAGTCAGTTCATATGGGGAGAGGCGGATCTTAAGGTATTGAGATCCTGAAGCTTTGTAGGTCAAAACCAGCATTTTGAATTGGTTGGTGGGGCGGGGCCTTCTTTGCCCTATGGACCGGCCTTGCTGCTTGCGAGTTGTACAAGTTACATGGAAGCCTCTGCAAACATACTGGGAGAATTTCCACACTTTCTCTTGAGACTTTATTTATTCGCCATATATACAGTAGTTCCTCCTTTATACAGCCATCATGCTCCCTTTTATGTGGCTCTTACACTGGCTTTATCAATGTTGTTTTTAAATGTATGTTTTGCTATTTTTTCCATTTGTTTTATATTTGTAATTTTGTAACACTGCCCAGAAACAAGATGATCCATAATTCGGGAAGAAAAGGCAAGTACGGAAGGCTAAACAAGAATGTCTTTGCTCTTCACTAATGTGAAGGACCTCTGGAAGTGAGAGGTGGACCATATAGAAGGCTGATCGCCGAAGAATTGATGCTTTTGAATTATGGTGCTGGAGGAGACTCTTGAGAGTCCCATGGACTGCAAGAAGATCAAACCTATCCATTCTTAAGGAAATCAGCCCTGAGTGCTCACTGGAAGGACAGATCCTGAAGCTGAGGCTCCAATACTTTGGCCACCTCATGAGAAGAGAAGATTCCCTGGAAAAGACCCTGATGTTGGGAAAGATTGAGGGCACAAGGAGAAGGGGACGACAGAGGACGAGATGGTGGGACAGTGTTCTCGAAGCTACCAGCATGAGTTTGACCAAACTGCGGGAGGCAGTGGAAGACAGGAGTGCCTGGCATGCTCTGGTCCATGGGGTTACGAAGAGTCGGACACGACTAAACAACAACAATGTGAAGGACCATTTAAGGCAGAGTTGGAGAACCCATGAGCCTACAGATATTGCTGGACTCCATCTCCCATCAGCCCCAGAAAAAAGCAAGGACAATATTCAGGGACGATGGGAGTTGTGTCCAGCAACACCTGCAGTGTCCCAAGCTCCCCATCTCTTTAAGGCTTTGTAGGTAATAACTCATACTGTCTTGTAGAGAAAAAGAGACCCTTTATTTCACTTCCACAATTTGGTTAGCAGATGTGAAACCACTCCCATCTTCCATTGCTTTGATCAACAGCACAATTAAATCTCACCATCTCTCTGTTCTATATTGGCAGGTAAAAAGGTAAAAGTAAAGGCGCCCCGGACGGTTAAGTCGAGTCAAACTTGGCTATAGGGTGTGGCGCTCATCTTGTTTCAGGCTGAGGGAGCTGGCGTTTGTCCTCAGGCAGCTTTCTGGGTCTTGTGGCCAGCATGACTAAACCGCTTATGGAGTCTCAGTGTTTGAGAGACTTGTAAGATTATATGTAAGAAATCGTATGGTTGGTCTGCGGGAACTTTGCAGGATCTTGGCTTCTGAGCTTAGACCATCTTACCCAAACCTTGTGTATGGTTGGTGAGGGTGGGACTGGGCATTAAGATTACTGTGTATAATTGATATTACTGCTGTTCAGCCTACTCAAAGATCTACATTATAATACTGAAGAGAGCCAGTGGAGACAAGGCATCAGTTGAGGGAGGCCTTTTGTTCATGACACCTTGCCTCTGCAACTCCCTATTTGTGTCCACTTCCCAGGTTTCCTCCCAGATTACAGTCACGTTCGCAACCCGAGGTATGACTGTACTGTATCTCTTTGTAAAAGAAACAAACTGAAAATGCTTCCTTTTGCCCTGTCCTGTCCACCTCCAGCTTTCAACAGGGTTTGAAACCTGCTGTTGTTACTATTACTATACTATTATTGCAACATAATGCAACAATCCTCCTGAACTGTAGTAACCTGTCATCATAGGTTATATGTGTTTAGACAGTGATTTTTTTTTACAGCAGCGATTTTATACCTGTGCATCATCAGCTGGGTCCAAGATCCCTGCGATTAAGAAGTACAGGGAGGAGGAATTAAAAAAAAACAAAAATGTAAGGCAGACCTATCCAAGCCTTTCCGTGGTTCCCACACTGACAGCCCAATTCTATGCATGTTTACTCAGAAGTAAACAGAGTTCAGTGGTGCTTACTCCCAAGTAGATGTTGTGTTTTGCTAGTTAAAACTGTGCTTTGTTCTGTCCTTTTAATTCTAGTGTGATTTTAGTAAACGTCAAGTGTTCTTGGGTAGGCAGGGCAAAAAAAAGAGGGGGCTATAAATAATGTCACAAACAAAACAAATGTGCACAGGATTTGTAGCCTTGTGTTGGGGAACCGAGAGCAAGGAAGTGGTCCTTTTCCAGTGTCAGATGGTCAATATCTGCAAAATGGGATCAACGGTGTCCTTCCTCACAGGGTTGTTGTAAGGTCGCACACTCTATATTGTGACATCTCTCTCTATATATGTGTGTATATGTATTTACATGGTGACCAAAGGGCACATTATTTGCCTTAAATAATAATATCCCCGCCCCCACAGTCCCCTCCCCCGACCCGAGGCTGAAACTCCCTCATTTTCCCCGCCCATACCGGTGTCCCCGATGATGACGTATTTGAAGAGATAGGCGTAGGACATGGCTCTGAAGCCCCCCTAAACCCCAGCCCCGGCCTGGAGGTTCTCCAGGGGCCACTCTAGCTCACTCAACAGCCGCCATGTCTATTGCTCTCGCGCTCCCTGTCCTTCCTCTCCCTCCCTCCCTCGTCCTGTGACGCTCTGGTTTTCCTTTTCCGGCACCTTTTCCAGCAAGCCGGTAGCTACAGAGCTCGTCGGTCCTTTCCGCGGCCGCTCTGGCCCGTCCCTCGTTGGCCGGAGCCACGTTTCCTGCGTCGCTCTAGGCACCCTGGCGGTTTAACGTCACAGCCCCTCCTCCTCCTGCAAAAACAAACGAACAACCCGAACCGTTAGGCGGTTTGCCGAACCGGCCGTTTTACGTCACATCCGCTGGTCTACTACCCTCTCCCGACGTGTGCGTAGGGACGCTCTAGCATCTGCCCTTCCTCCTGCCCCGCACTACGCTCTAGCCTCCCCCTCGACTCGGCTCTATCCTCTCCTCCTCAACGGCTCAGGCGGGCGTGTTCAGAGAAATAGCCGCGGCCGTCCGACCGTGGGGGGCTGAGTGGGAAGGAAATTTGCCCCAATAGTTCCCCTCAGAGAAGTAATAAATAGCAGCGGAGGGAAGGCCGGGCGGAAGTGACGCGCGTTCCCGGCCTGAGGTCGGGTGGGCGGAAGGGCTTTCCGGTTCCGGTTGAGGAGCTGGGGAAGAAAGACGGGGGGGAGGGGGAGAGTGCGGCGGGGTCTCCCCCTCTCTTCGGCGAGGCTCTGAGGCTGCGGCCATGGAGGTAAGAGAGCCTAACTGGCGGTAGGGACCCTGGGACAACCACTCTGGGGGGGTGGGGTGGGTGACGGTGGGTCCCCCATGCCTTTTAAAAAGAGTCCCCATGGGATTGGATCTGTGGAGGGAAAGGGCATAATATGGGGCTGGGGAGGAAGGGGAATGGGATGGGGCTGAGGTTATCAGGGGGTCTAGTGTATCCCCCCCCATTGTGTGTTTGGTACCTTCCAACGTATCCTTAAGGAGCCCAACTGACGGCAAAAGAGGGGAGGGGTGCGGGGTTCAGCAGTTGCCTTGGGCCCAACTTGGCCTCTCCTAGCCTGTCCATCTTCCTAACTTCTTATCCCCCCCCCCCAAATCTCTCTTTTCGCCGCCTCTTGTCATTTGAGAGGATGTGGAGGACCCCTCTAGCTTTTTCGGCTAGTAGCCACTGGCCGGCTCATCCTCTGTGGGTTGAACCCCCACATCAGAGATATGACACAGTTGGGGACGTTTGAGGAAGGTTGTGGGGAGAAAGGGGGTGTCCTTGCGGGAAGGGGATGCCTTGGAAGTGGGGGTGAGAGTTCCACCAGGAAGCAAGTTAATATTTAATGGAGTTCATTCCGGGGCACAAAGGTGAAAGTTCAGACCTTGGATTGTGCTTGGTTAGAGTGGAATAAGTTCAGCTTGCATCTTGTACTAATGCCAGCTGTGGATTCCCACCCCCCACCCCCATTGTGGGTGCTTCACTCCTAGTAACATGGATAAATGTGGCATGGGTTGCTCATGGGAAGCTCTTTGCAGATTGTCCTACCTTACATGTGCACAAAAATGGCATTTGTTCTCTAAAAGCCTGTGATCTTCCTTCTGTGTCTCTTCTCCACATCACATGCACACATCTTAAATACCCCCGAAATGGCAATAAAATGTTGATCAGAATATACTTGAGTCCATATAAGTTTGTTTTGGGGAGGAAATCAGTTGAATGTCATTTGTTCAGTCTTGATCTCTCCAGGAAAGAATATCTACCCCTCCCAGGATAGATTGGGTAGAAACTAATTTTGCATATAGCTGTTCTCCTATAGTTTGGTCTGTATGGTCCATCTGAAGTTACTCCTCCATGAGCACTTTGGCGTTGCACACTTTCAACCACTTGCACATCATCCTTTTGACATTTGTTGGTCCCATTGGTGTGGCTTGAGTGTAAGATGTGCCCTGCTTGGCTGGGACAAACAGTTGGATCCAGTGACCTCTGGGCTCTTCCGAACCTGAAGTTGTGTGCCAACTACACATGCCTTTGCCTACCTATTTACCTTCAGATGGTTTGCACTACGACTCCCATCAGCCCCAGCTAGCCTGGCCATGCTGGCTGGGAGTGATGGGAGTATAGTCCAAAACATCTTGAGGGAATCAGATTGGTGATGGCTGCCCTACCCCTTGTTGTATCCGGTCTGCTCATGTTAGCTTGGAATACGGTTGAGCTGCATGATGACTGTAGATGTTTCCTCTCATAGTATGCTCGGTTGCCCTTTATAGTCTTTCAAAACTGTGAGGCAGTGACGTCATTGTTCATCTTGGGCAGGGCACCTTGGGACTACCTGCATCCAAGGAGTGCCTTGGAGCATGTGCTTGGATGAAGGTCAAAGTACCACTCATTTAGCTCACTGACACTGCTTATTACAAGGTGCCTCTGCATGAAATAATTACCTGACCTTAAAGTTGACTACAGGTAGTTGTCCTTGCAACAGACCTACTTACGACATATGCACCTGTGTTCAGGGGGCTGTATATCAGGGAGTCTGAAGTGGCAGGAAGGCTTAAGAAGTTCTAAATTCACATTTGTGCTTGGCTGTATGTGTGTGTTCAGAAGCACTGAATAGGAATTCCAATGTGTTTTATTTTTCAACGCTCTGCTCTGTTAGAGCAAAGGGAACTGTCTTATACTGAGTCAGACCACTGGTCCATCTTGCTCAACATTGCCCACATTTGACTGGCAGTGACTCTCCAAGGTGTCAGGCAGGGAACAATCCCAACCCTACCTGGAGATGCTGGGGACTGAACCTGAGACTTTCTACCAGGAAACAGTTTCCTCTGTCTCTGAGCTGTAGTCAGTTCAAATGTTACTTGTCAGGAGTAGGATTTGAACCCATAACTCAGGGGAGATGGTGACTTTGTAGGCACCTCAGCCGTCCTGGCTTCTTAAATCATAGTGGTTCCACTGGGGCTCAAACACACAACCCTCTGTGTTTAAGCAGATATTACAATCATGGAATCCACATGTTGTGCCCTTGCCGTGAGAAGAGGCTGAGGATCTCCTTATGCGGTTGCTAGGCAACTGCAGCATACTTCCTCCCACACCCATTAAGATTATGGTTATCCAGGACCCTGGAGCATTGGGGCAGGACAGCAGTGAGTTTTGATGCTTGTGCACACAAACCCCAGTCTGGCCCTCTGCATAGAAACCAGGCCTGTCCAACAGAGGAGGGCGGGAATTCTGAAAATGCTAGAGTCCCTTTCAGCCATGTCGCTTCCATTCATTCATTCATTCGTTCATTTGGTATGGGGAACATGAATATACAAAGCTGCCTTTTACTGAGTCGAATGATAAGCTCATCTAGTTTTCTACTCTGACTGGCAGCAACTCTTGAGGGATGCTGGAGCAGCAGCAGCAGCACCCCCCCCCCAAAAAAAATCATTATACAATAACTGCACAGCACCAGGGGTTCAGAGCATAGCAATTGGGTAGGGTGATGGATTGGGCTGCTAAGCTTCTTGGCTTCTGCTTCAGTATGATTATTGGCCTCTGCTGCTGTGCTTTCTTAAACAGCTGCTCAATTTGCAGACATTAGCAGGAGAAAATGCTGGTCTCAGTCAGTGCTGCGTAAAGCTTTTTGTGTGCTGATGCCTGCTAAAGGCTCAGCAGTAGTTTGAATGTTTTAAAACAATTTTTTTTTGTGGGTTTGTGGCACTCTCTGCTTTGGACCTTGGGTGAGGCCAGTGGGTGAAAGCATGGGGACAGCCTCGGCACCATAGATGACGTTTACATTCCCCCACTACTTGGTGATGTACCTATATATCATTCAGAACTGGTTTGATGTCCATATCATGATAATCAGTTTCATAATTTTTGACCTGGCAATATATCACAAATCATGAGGTGTATCTGTGTGTGCGAGGCAAAAATCACACGGGGGGGGGGGGACCGTGAAGCTAGCTAGTGCCTGTACATAGCTCCATCCTTATTTCAGACATCTTGACATATCAGTATATTGTGAAGTTTAGCTGGTGATATATCGCAATGTTGAAAAGCAGATATCACTCAGCCTTACCACTTGGCTGAATGACACTGCACTGGTGACTTTCAAAGGAGCATTATTCTCAGTGTGGTAGCGTGGCAAGGCTAGGCCCAGGGAGGCCCAGGTTGAAATTCATTTGCCACTCAACCACATTAGGTGACCCTGGGCAATTTTACTGTCTCTCGTCCTAACTTAACTCAAAGGGTGGATTTCGTGGGCATTCAATAAAACTGAATGTTGGGTAAAAGACAGCACTTCTTCACACAGAACGTAATTAAACTATGGAACTTGCTGCCACTGGAGGCAGTGATGGCCACCGACTTTTGAAAGAGAGTTGAACAAATTCATGGGAGAGAAGGTTACTAGGCACAATGTCTGTGCTCTGCCTCCACAACTGGAGGAATCAGTGCTTCTGAATATCAGTTGCTGAAAACCACAGGAGGCGAGAGGGATCTTGTATTTGGGTCCTGCTTGCGAGTTTCCTGCAGGCATCTCATTGGCCACTCTGAGAACAGGCTGCTGGACTAGATGGGCTTTTTTGCCTGATCCAGCAGGGCTCTTCTTATGTGTTCTTATCCCGAGGTAGGGCTGGGAGAAACTCCTGCGTGAAGCCACGGAGACTGGCTGCTAGTCAGTGTAGACCAGGGGTACAGGCAAAGGTAAAGGGACCCCTGACCGTTAGGTCCAGCCGCAGACGACTCTGGGGTTGCTGTGGTCATCTCGCTTTACTAGCGTACAGCTTCCGGGTCATGTGGCCAGCATGACTAAGCCGCTTCTGGAGAACCAGAGCAGCGCACGGAAATGCCGTTTACCTTTCCGCCGGAGTGGTACCTATTTATCTACTTGCACTGCTTGCTTTCAAACTGCTAGGTTGGCAGGAGCAGGGACTGAGCAACGGGAGCTCACCCTGTCGCAGGGATTCAAACCACCGACCTTCTGATCGGCAAGCCCTAGGCACTGTGGTTTAATCCACAGCTCCACCCACGTCCCAGACCAGGGGTAGTCAACCTTTTTATACCTACCGCCCACTAATGCATCTTTCTTGATGGTAAAATTTCCTTAACGCCCACCAGTGCTCGATGGAAGGTGGATTCTGCTTGTGCTGTAGAACCCACTACATCCCACCTAGAATCCTGAAATGGCCGCTAGTGGGCAGTAGGGACCAGGTTGACAACCCCTGGTGTAGACAGTACTGAACTGGATAGACCAGTGGTGTGACTGCTTTTAAGGTGGCTTCCTTCGTTCCTATTCAGTATCAACTTCTGACTAATGAGCTTTTTAAGACTGCTGAGGTGGAGGCCACAAGTGATGGTTTTATGAGTTCCCAAAGTGTGAGTGGCGCTACACCATGGATTTGTCTGGTTATATTGGACTTGGGGTGAGGCTGCATTTGTGGTGGAAGAAAAATAAATAAAAGGATTGCTAATATTTTCCTTTCTCCCCCTAAGTTCCCTGGAGGAAATGAGAATTACCTGGCTATCACCGGGACAGCACACCCCTTTTTGTCAGGGGCCGAGGTGAGTTTGGCTGCTTGCAGGGGCTGAGGGTGCAGGGCAGTTGGCGGTGGAGAGCGTGGAATGAAAGTGCTGGATGGCAGGAACCAGGGAGAGGTTGCCACCTGCAGCTCGCAGCAGACCAAATGCTTTGTTGTGTACAAGGCTCCTGGTTCAATTCCTGGTGCCTCCAGTTTCAGGGAACTGTCCTCTTGTCTGAGACCCCGGAGAATGAAAACAAGGGGGAGATCAGGCTTTGGTGTTTACCCGAGGCAAGACTTTTTGCTCTGTGTATTCCTCTTTGAAGCTTAAAAAGCTTGCAAATTGAGAATCGCCTTGTTTTGAAAATCAGAACTTAAGAAGCATCCTTAAATAGGTGTCGCTTTTTATTATTTATTTTTGCTTTCACATCCCACCTTTCCTGGCACATATGGTTCTTTCCCCCTCTCCACAACAACCCTGTGAGGTACATTAAGCTGAGAGGTGGTGACTGGCTCAACGTCACCCAGCGAGCTGCACAGCCGAGTGGGGGATTTGAACTCGGGTCTCCGAGGTCCTAGTCAGACACCCTAACTGCTACACCAGCAGGGACCCTAAAGGGCCTCTTGACTCAGAATATTCTGACCATACCGGGCTGGATGGACAACATCTGATCTAGTGTAGTGTGCCTTTTCTAAGTTTGTACACCTGCATCAAAGTCTCTCTTTCTCTCTTTTCCTCCCTCCCTTTTGCTCAGACCTTCCACACGCCAAGCCTGGGGGATGAAGAGTTCGAGATCCCGCCTATCACGCTGGACGCTGATCCCTCCCTGGCCGTTTCTGACGTGGTTGGGCACTTTGAGGACCTGGGCGACCCCGTGACTGCCCCAGACACCACTTTTTCTGCCCAGTATGGGGTGCAGGCGCTTGACATACCTGTGGGCATCAGCCCTGGTCTCATGGAGCAAGGTGGGGGACTTCTGAGCGGGGGGCTGGCCATGGTGAGTACCCTGCTTGACATAGTTTTGAGAGTGCATGCAGACACCATACGACTCCTCTAGTGGGCAGCGCAGTATCTTCTGGGCAAAATCCAGTTTGTGGGTTATCGTGTGTTAGCTTTCGATTTGCCCGTACCCTTCGAGGGATTCTTCCAGGCCAGGGCAAGTTGGTTCAATTCTTAGCTGTCATGGAGGAGAACTGCCCCACCTTCTCATGGAGCTGGCTTCAGGAGGTGGGGAGGAAAATGCCAGAAGCGTCCAAGCTGTTTCCCCCAACACAATTCCAGAAATCATCTTTGTGCCACTCTGGCCGCAGCAAACACTGGTGTGTGTGAGGGGGGCGGCTTCTGTTAGTGCCGCAATTCACTTCAGCTGGTTGCCAATCTCCACATTGTGTGATTCCGTTTAGAAGTCATTAGTTTGTTGCCTTCATGGCCCCCCTTTCCCTCCAAGGAGCCCAAGGTGGCGTGAATGGTTCTCCCCACAACAGCTCTGTGAGGTAGGATAGAGTGCAAGGCAGTGACTGGCCCAAGGTCACCCAGTGAGTTTCATGGCCAAGTCGAGGATTTGAACCCTGGTCTCTCCTGGATCTTAGCCTGATAATCTATCCACAAAACCACACTGGCTCTGTGTTCCATTCCTCAGTTGCTTCCCAAAAAATGTCTGAGCAATTTCTTAATGAAAATATCAGCGGCAAAAACAACTGCCCGATTTCATATGTTGGATTAATAATAATAATAATAATAATAATAATTTATTTATACCCCGCCCATCTGGCTGGGCCTTCCCAGCCACTCTGGGCGGCTTCCCAAAAAATATTAAAATACTGTAATACATCAAACATTAAAACCTTCCCTAAACAGGGCTGCCTTCAGATGTCTTCTAAAAGTCTGGTAGTTATTCTCTTTGACATCTGGTGGGAGGGCATTCCACAGGGAGGGTGCCATTACCGAGATGGCCCTCTGCCTGGTTCCCTGTAACTTGGCTTCTTGCAGTGAGGGAACTGCCAGAAGGCTCTTGGCTCTGGACCTCAGTGTCCGGGTAGAATGATGGGGGTGGAGACGCTCCTTCAGATATACTGGACTGAGGCCATATCATATAAATGATCCTAACAATTAAAAAAAAAAAAATGCTTCCATGTGTAAAAGCAAGTTCACATCCAGTACAGATGCAGGCTTAGATACAGATCACCGCTTAAAAGACTTGCTAAAAAAAGGAGGGTTTTCAGTGGAGCTGTAGCTCAGTGGAAGATCATCTGCCTTGCATGCAGAAAGGTCCCAGGTTCAATCTTCGGCATCTCCTGGTAGGGCTGGGAAAGATGACTTGCCTGCAACCCTGGAAAGCTGCTGCCAATCAGTGTCGATGATACTGAGCTAGGTGGGCCAATGGCCTGGCTAAATAGAAAGTTGCTAAGCACCAAAAAGACGCCAGAGACAGACAGACAGGAGGAGGAAGGAGGAGTATTTATAAGTGGGACCTGCAACAAAACGTTGCAGCGTATTCTTTCTCTTAGTGGGAGTGCTCCTATTCCAGTTTCCAGTCAGCCATTCCTTCCAAGCATGGCATTTTACTCTTCCCCCACTTCCCAGTTTTCCGGTTTTCTTTTCCTATTGATATGCAGCATTCTGTGGTCACTGAGGAACATTCTCAGCCTTCCTTTGTTTTTGGCCGGGGTTTGTGCAAGCTTGAGAGTTGTATGTTCTATATATACATATATATATACATATATATATTTGTACTTTTGCCAACCTTGGGCTTCTCCCAAATGAGAGCATCCTAGAAGATACCACAGCTGGCTGAAATCCTGAACAAGAGCCCATTTTGCTGTCTGTGTCCCGTTGCCAAACCCCATTCGCTTGGAGCTTTTCAGTCAGCTCCGTTGTGCAATTAAACATTCTATTAATTCACACACCCATTTAAAAACATGTAAGTAATTAGGCTCCAATAATAAACAGATTCAGGCTGGTCAGGGTCGTTAGCTCAGGGGTTGAATTTCCTTATTTCACCAGCGTCTTCCTTGCACAGCAGGAAATGACAGGAGTCTGGTGTGCTGCTGTTATCAGCAAACAAGATAAGCTCCTGGTTCTCCCCCAAACCCTCTGACAAGCGCAGAGGGCTTTGGCCGAGCCGTGCGCTGCTCTCTACACTTCAGCCCAAGTGAAACAAGAGAGGATACACAATGCAAGGGACTCCTTGCAAGAGAAGGCTATCAATGGCTGCTATGCTCTGCTTCCCTGGCCAGAGGCAGTAATGCCGCTGGAGGAGAGAGGGATCTTGTTTCTGGTTAGCCACTGTGAGAACAGGATGCTGGACTGGTTAGGCCATTGGCCTGTTCCAGGAAACACTTCTTAGGTTGCTACTGTTTGGTTTTTTTTCCAAATCGGAGGGGACAGGAGCTGTTGGGCATCTTTCTCACCGGAGGGCCAGACCGTCACACAGATTTCTGCCTTTCTATAACCATTGTCACGACCCTGAATTCTCCCTCTGCAGGATTTGGACCACCCCATGGGGACGCAATACAGCGCCAACCCGCCCGTCACCATCGATGTGCCCATGGCGGACATCAGCTCCGGTTTGATGGGGCATGGCCAGCTGACCACCATTGACCAGTCGGAGCTCAGTTCGCAGCTGGGCCTCAGCCTGGGGGGCAGCGCCATCCTGCCCCCCGCAGCCCAGTCGCCCGAGGAGCGGCTCTCACCCACCCCCTCGCCCACCAGTTCCATGCACGAGGAAGAGACGGAAGAGATTCGGCGGGTGAGTCTTGGCTCGACGGCATTCAGGGGCATCCCAGCCTGAACAGCTGGTGTCCAGAGTCGGTTTGCGCATGTGCAGAATCCTCTTGTTTTTGCATGGATGTAACATGACCGCCATTGCTCTGTTTGCTTTGCCTCTTGCCCTGCCCACCCATCACTCATATGCAGCCCTTGGAAGGTTTCTCCACCAGAACATGTTGCTTCTGGGCTACCAAAAAAGGAGAAAAGGTTCCCACTTTGGGGCTAGAGTGTCAGACTGGGATGGCACAAGGTCCAGATCCCCTGCTGTGAGACTCACCAGGTGATCTTTGATCTGTCACCGCCCTTCACAGGGGGGTTGCCAGGATAAAAGGAGAGGGGAGGGGAGCATGTACACTGCCCCGAACTACTTGGGAGGAGGGCAAGGTTAAAAAACAAACACGATAAGTCAGCCTTCCCCATTCCATTTCCAATTGGATGGCCATCTGTCATGGATGCATTTAGTTGAGATTCCTGCATTGCAGGGGGCTGGACCAGATTGCCCCTCCGGGTCATTTTCAGCTCAAAATTCTATGATTTCATGACCGTGTGCGTCAGGTGAGCAGGTGGTGAATTCAATCCACCTGTTGCCCCATGAAGGCTCTCGGCTATTTTGGTTTGGGGGCTATTGCCCGGGACATCTTGCAGCCCTTAACCCGGGCCCTCCCAATGTGGCTAGGCTCCAACTCCCCCAGCCTCAGTGGTGAGAGAAAGAGAGTGGGCTGGGCTGGCAGTTGTCGTCCGGCAACCTCTGGACGACTGCAGGTTTCCCCATCCGTTTTAAAAGCGGGGGCCTCTCCATTCCATTTTTTCTTTCAAACGCCCGTTGTTTCATGCAAAAGTGGCCCACTTCCTCTCCTGCGCTGTGGTTAGGCCATTTCCTTTCAATTGCTTTGAATGCTGCCAGCCCAGCTTAGCTGCCGTTTGCCTGCCTGCCTTTTCCGTCTATTCCTTATCATCCTTGATGAGATCCGGGTGCGGGGAACGGTTTGGGATTATGCACTGAGCAAAGCGGAATTGGTTCTGTACCCGCCCCCCATGGGCGAATCCCCCCAGCTGCTGCCACCGCCGTGCTCTCTGCCCCGTGGAGCCCGTTTCCGACCCTCTCCCTCTCTGTCCTTGCAGCAAGTTTCTGTCGCCAAGCCGGCGGTGATGGCCCTGGCGGCCCCTGCGCCGGTCGTGGCACCTGTGGTGGCGGTGGACGCGGGGAAGAAGCAGAAGCCGGCCAAGAAGCAGAAGAAGAAAAAGGACCCCAATGAGCCCCAGAAGCCTGTTTCGGCCTATGCTCTCTTCTTCCGCGACACGCAGGCGGCCATCAAGGGGCAGAACCCCAAAGCCACCTTCGGCGAGGTCTCCAAGATCGTCGCCTCGATGTGGGACAGCTTGGGGGAGGAGCAGAAGCAAGTGCGTGCCAAGGGGGTTGGGCAGCGGGGAGGGAGGGAAAAGTGGGAGGGTGTTTTTTTTGGGGGGGGGACAGCGGCGCTGAGGGGTTGAGGAGGAGGCTGTAGCTGCAAAGGAGCAAAGCAGAAACATTGGGGAGATCGTGAACGTGCAGCGTTGCCCTTACAGAGGGATGGGGAGCTGTTTCGGATTGTGGCCCCAGCCAGTAGCATCTGACAGCCACATAGGTTTGCTCGCCCCTGCTGTTGTAGATTTTGCATTGCATAGAGACCACCAAGGTCCTGTCCAACGTCGTGCTTTTAAAGAGAGCACTTTTTTTTTAAGGGAATGCAAGCTGCAGCGTTCATCTTTGAAAAGTCTTCCCCGTAGGAAGGAATTCCTCTTCTTCCATTTTTTTTAAAAAATAATGCAACAATACGCATTTTCTTTTAGAAACCTGCAGACTGAGTAATTGCAAGACATTTTATTCAGTTGATCACATGCTTCTTTTGACGGAATGGAATGATCAGCCCAGATAGCTCAGTTGGTTAGAGCGTGGTGCTGATAATGCCAAGGTTGCAAGTTTGATCCCCATATGGGACGGCTGCATATTTCTACATGGTTTTCCCTAACAATTTGGGGTGCGTCAGAGGGTGCTGCAAAGCAGTGTGGTTTAAACAGGGAGCCTCTGCCACAGCCTTCTTCCCTCTCTCCCTGCCAGGTGTACAAGCGGAAAACGGAGGCAGCAAAGAAGGAGTACCTGAAAGCGCTGGCGGCCTACCGTGACAACCAGGAGTGCCAGGTAAGAGAGATGAGCCTTCTTGCCTCTGCCGTTTCCAGGACTGCAGGGGTGTGACGCTGTCCTGTCCTCTCCTCTCCTGCCTCAGTAGACACAGCAAGAAACCTAGAAAACTACCCTTCTTCCAAGCAGAACAGCCTTTGCCAACCTGGTGCCTTTGGATTCCTTTGGACTACAACTCCCATCAGCCCCAGCCATGCTGTCTGATGGGAGTTGTTCTCCAAATTTAAGGTACCAGGATTGCAAAGGCTATAAAAGCATGTCCTTCCAGCCCAGAACTGTCCTGCAGTGGCTTTCCAGGCTGAAAAAAGGAGAGGGGTCTTCTGTCCCATCGCTTAAAGGGCTGTTACTCAGTGGGAGAGCGTCTGCTCTGAATACAGAAAGTTTCAGGTTCAATTCTCAGCATCTCCAGGTAGGGCTGGGAAAAGATTCCTGCCCTGAACTCCTAGAAAGCCACTTTTACCCAGCGTGGGAAGTAGTGAGCTAGCTCAGTGTTTCCCAGACTTGGGTCTCCAGCTGTTTTTGGACTACAGCTCCTATCATCCCTAGCTAGCAAGACCAGTGATCAGAGATTATGGGAATGGTAGTCCCCAAACAACTGGAGACCAAAGTTTGGGGATAACTAAGCTAGATGGACCAGTGGGTGTGGCCATTTCCTATGTTCCTGTCACCTGTTCCCTGGAGACGCCAAGCATCGAAGGCGGGACTTCCTGCATGGGCTCTGCTGCTGATGTGCATCTCCTCTGGCGGCCCAATCTGTGGTGTAACTAGAGACTACTTCCTAGGTGCCTGCGGAGAAGTGGAGGAGAAAACACAACACTCCTGGCTTGCCCACCCTTGTCTTAACTGGGTCAGGTCAGGAGCAGCTATTTACTCCCTCCCAGTGTGGTGTAGTGGTTAAGAGCGGTGGACTCGTAATCTGGTGAACCGGGTTCGCGTCTCCGTTCCTCCACATGCAGCTGCTGGGTGACCTTGGGCCAGTCACACTTCTCTGAAGTCTCTCAGCCCCACTCACCTCACAGAGTGTTTGTTGTGGGGGAGGAAGGGAAGGGAGAATGTTAGCCGCTTTGAGACTCCTTTAGGTAGTGATAAAGCGGGGTATCAAATCCAAACTCTTCTTCTTCCCTGGGGAAGGGACCTTTTCGTGACGCTTCTTCGGGGGCAGAATGGGAAGCGGAAGATCAGCTGCGCCCAATAATGGAGGAGCTTTCTGTGCCTTCCCCTTTTCCCTTCCTTGACTTCTCTTTTCTTTTGGAAGCTTTACCAGTCGCCACCTGCAATGTGACCCCAAAAGCCCCCCTAGATTGTTTCCCCCCCAGCTTCCTGACTCTTCTCTTCCCCTCCACTCCGCAGACGGTTGTAGAAACGGTGGAACTGGACCCCATCTCCTCGCCTGCCGAGCAGCCGGCCCCCGCCGTGGAGTCCGCCTCCCCCCCGGCCCCGATGCCGCCCACCCCGCCGGCCCTGGAGAGCCCCCCTCCTGCCCCGACCGTCGTCTCGACACAGCCCACCGTGGTGGTGACCTCGGGGGGCGGGCCCCAGGCGGGGGGCCAGACCAGCATCACCAAGATCATCATCCCCAAGCAGATGCTGCCGTCCTCCCTGGCTGTCACCTCGCAGGGCGGCGTGGTGACGGTCATCCCCGCCACCATGGTCACGTCACGCGGCATCCAGCTGGGGCAGCTGCAGGCCGGCACGGGCACCACCCAGATCGTCACCCGCTCGGTGCTGGCGGCGGCGGCGGCGGCCACTTCCATGCACTTGCCGCGGCTCCAGCCCCCGCCCCTGCAGCAGATGCCCCAGCAGCCGCCGGCCCAGCCGGTTGCCATCCTACAGCAGCCGCCCCCCCTGCAGGCCATGCAGCAGCCGCCCCTGCAGCAGAAAGTGCGTCTCAACCTGCAGCAGCCGCCGCCGCCCTTGCAGATCAAGATCCTGCCCCCGCCCGCCCTGCAGATCCAGCCCATCGCCCTGCGGACGGAAGAAGGCAGCCCCGAGAGGCCCAGCGCCGAACTCCAAGCTTCCCCAGAGCCCGTAGACGTGGTGCCGGAGGTGAGGAGCGCTGGGCGGGTGGGCGGGTGCTTGTTTGCTTGCTTGTTTGCATGTAGGAAATGCTTTCTTTCTTATTATTTCTTTGGTTTTTCAGATTAAAATTTTAGAGGCATATATCCAACATAGAAACGAGATTCCAGAGAATCTCCTGGACTCCCTTGCTCCCATCTGTGGGTCCTTTCCTCCTGCATCTTTTATAATAATCCAAATCTTTTAGCTCTCCATTATGTCCAAAGTTCACCATTAAACTACAAGTGTTATTCCAACCCTACAAACGATTTTGACTGGTTACAATGGTTTTTAAGATGAATTATTAATTTCCCCTATTCCTTATTAAAATTTTGGCCTTCCCGATTTCTGATTCTCCCGGTTGTTTTAGCCATTTCGGCATAATCCATCAACTTGATCGGCCATTCTTCTCTGGTAGGGACTTTGTCTTCTTTCCATCTCTGGGCCAGTAACACTGGAGCAGCCGTGGTTGCATACATAAATATGTATGCATGCCAGAAACTCTTATAATTGAGTTTCTGGGTCAATCCAAGAGGACCCCTGAGCATCTTAATTTGTTTTTACTTCATGGGACTTACGGACTTATTAATTATAGGCGGAAACGTCCCAGTTTAATTTAATTAGATTTATTTATCTTCTCAAAGTCGTATGATTGTTTATCTCTGACGACTGATGGGAGGATGTCCCACAGGGCAGGTGCCACCACCGGGAAGGCCCTCTGCCTGGTTCCCTGTAACTTCAGTTATCGCAGTTAGGGAACCGCCAGAAGGCCCTCAGAGCTGGACCAGGGTGCAGGTGAGCCTATACACACACACACACACACACACACACACACACACACACACATATGCATGCATGCAAGAACAGCCTGGCTGCTGGATCAGGCCAAGGGCCCATCTGAGTCCTGCATCCCATTCTCACATTGGCCTGAGAAAAATAGCACAGAAGGGGGAGGAAAATGAGACTCTTTGCTATGTATGTTTCTCTCCTGATTGCTTGGAATCAAGGTTTGCTTGCCCCAGGCGCACGACTGACTAAATCCAACAGGGCACATAGTTACTTTAGTTTTTTCTCCCCTGCCCCAGGTGGAGTCTCCGACACCGATGCACGTGGAGCTAGTGTCTGAATCGCCTGTGGCCTTGTCCCCGCACCCTCGCTGCGTCTGCGCAGGCTGCGATAACCCTCCGGTGGCCAACAGCGAATGGGACAACGAGTATTGCAGCAACGAGTGTGTGGTTAAACATTGCAGGTGGGTGGGCAGCCGGGGCTGCCTAATAATAATAATAATACCCCGCCCATCTGGCTGGGTTTCCCCAGCCGCTCTGGGCAGCTCCCAACAGAATGTTTAAAAAACGATAAAACATCAAACATTAAAAACTTCCCTAAACAGGGCTGCCTTCAGATGTCTTCTAAAAGTCAGATAGTTGTTTCTTTCCTTGACATTTGATGGGAGGGCGTTCCACAGGGCGGGCGCCACCACCGAGAAGGTCCTCTGCCTGGTTCCCTGTAACCACTTCTCGCAGGGAGGGAACCGCCAGAAGGCCCTTGGAGCTGGACCTCAGTCTCTGGGCTGAACAATGGGTTTTCAAGTCTGATAACAGAGGGTGTACAGTCTATCCTCTTCCTCTGTGAGGACTAGACACTTGGCAGACAAATGAGGGAGCAATACAAACACACACCAGTCCTACTTGAATACACAGAGTAAATAGTTTCAGCTGCCTCAGCAAAGCCAAGCCACGTGGTTTGGGAGCAGGGAACGAAGATGTGCAAGCTAGTCAGGTCAGGAAGAAGCATCCGCCAGGTCTTCATTATTGAACATCCAGTTCAGCAATGCACTGCAAATGGCGCACAGCAAGACACACTGCTGCCATCGCTTCTTTGTAATGGCAAGCTCAGGTTATGACGGCGGACCGAGACTGAACCCACGCACAGGTTGCTGTGAAAAAAGGAGGGCCGCTGCCAGCTCTTGGGGGGGGGGGGCGGGACATGAAATAAAGTGCATTTTTAAATACATATATCTCCCAGTCAGTGCTAGGCAAGATACTGGAGGTTCACAGGCTCCCCACTCCTGTTGTGCAAGTTTTTAGAGTAAGGATCTTTGCACCTGCAGGAACTGCTGCTGCATATACTTCCTGCCTCTTGACTAAACCTCTGCTTCTGTCCCTCTCTCATTCACAGGGATGTGTTTCTAGCTTGGCTGGCCTCCCGCAATTCCAACAACAACGTTGTCTTTGTGAAATAACCCCCGGCCCTTTTGCGGCGGAAGCAGCAGGGGCGGGGTTGGGGAAACGACAGTTTCGCGTTCCTACGTACACTTTTTTCCAAGGACGATCAAAAACATAAAAAACACAAATCGCCATGCTACTGTGGGATGGGGCTGGGCGGGCAGGATTCGCGCCATCGGCCGAAGACCATCGACAAGCGAAGACGCCATCCCGGTTGGGTGCCGCGGACTCCCCTTCCTCCCTTCCCCCTTTATTATTATTTTTTTCTATACACTATCCCTTGGTATGTTTCTGTTGATGGAGCCAATTAAAGCTGGAAGAGGGATATTGGCCAGGGCCTGCTATGTGCTGTTTTGCAGGAGGAGGCGGCGGGCGGAGATAGGAGCCGTCCTTCCGCCGCGGGTGAGCAAATAGAAAGCCTCTACAATTTAGGAACGTCCTCCCACCAAATGGATTGGAAAGGGGTGGGCAGTGTCTTGCCCCAAAGCTGGGCGTCTTGTTTTGCGTGGCACGAGCGTAGAAGTGCAACAGCCCTCTACCTTCAGACTCCAGCTCCTTGCAGAAGCACATAGGGGCCTCCTTCTGTGCCTGAAATCTGGAACCTTCTGCATGCAAAACACATTCGTTCCCACTGAGCTGCGCTCCGTTCGTTGCCTCCTCTCGGTGACTGGGATCCAGCACCGTAGAGCCACAGCAACCAGCCAGCTTCACATGAGAGGGGAAGGAGCAGCAGGAGCTCATCTTCACCTTGTGTGGAATTTCCCCCTGCCCTGAAGGGAGGAGAGGGTAGGAGCAAGAGGCTGGTCCCTCATCTCATGCAGCCTTTCAGTGGGATAATCCAAAGTCCAGGAGCAAGGTCTTGCCCATCCCCTCTCCTGTGCCCAGAAGCTTCACCTTGCTGGTGAGCTGCTTCCAAGACCCACCAGCAAGGAATACAGGCAGAATAATGGGTGGGTTAGGGTCGAGGGAGTTGCAGCCTTCTACCTATCAATCACCAAGTGCCTCTAGGGGGTAAACAGCATCTTCCACAGGAACTGGGCTCTCGATTCTACGTCCCACATTCTTCCCAAGACTCGGCTATGGAGAAAGAATCCATTTTGTTTTATTTATTTTGGAAAAAAAACCACCCTATATTAGAATACAATCCATTGCTTTTGCCAGCACCCCCTGCAAAACACCCCCTTTGGTCCATCGCGCTGAAATCTCCCCTTGTCTCCCCTCTACATATTCTTGGGCTTGGAGATGATTCCGTCTGGGTAACGTTGTTTGAACTGAGCCACCACATCTGGATCCAGCAGGTGGATTCCGTCCAGCTGGTTACCAAGCGTGATCCTAAGACGTGAGAGAGAGAGAGAGAGAGGATGGATTAAGGGGAGGGTGGAGGGAATAAGGAAAGGGGGTCTATATAAAACCTGTGTTGTGGTTCCAGTGTGAGGCTGAGTGAAGGACTGGTTAAAGGGCACTGGTGGAAAACTTTTGATTATCAGCTGCTGAGATCTGTAAGTGGGAAGAGAATGCCAAGGTATCTTTGGCTGAGCTCAGGCTCCTCACTCAGCCACAAATCGGCTGCATCCTAACCCAACTCATTCCCGTGGACAGGATTGCCCCCTAAATAATAGTAGCAATAACAGTATCTGCCACCTACCCAGATCAGATCACCAGATCTCTGTCTATTTATTTAGAGTTGCCACCAAGCGTAATGTTGCATCTTTAAGCAAAACCTCATTTGACGGCCACCAACTTGGATGGTTTTCCAAGAGGATTGGACAAATTCAGGGAAGAGAAGGCCACTGAGGTGCTAATAGTGACATTGGCTATGCTCTGCCTCCACAACTGGAGGCAGCGATGTTTCTGAATCCCAGTTGCTGGAAACCGCAGGAGGGGAGATGGCGCCTGTGCTACAATTCTGCTTGCTGGTTTCCCACTGGGGCATCAGGTTAGCCGCAGTGAGAACTGGATGCTCGATTAGATGGACCTTTGGTTGAGAACGCTCTTCTCCCATCTTCAGTTCCCAGCCAGACTTGCTCCCCTCAAGCTGAGCCCTGACCTGGCTGACTGCAAATGCTGCATAGGGGTCACAGCTCACATGTTTCCAGCAGCTGAGGCTCTTTGAAGCAGGGATGCTCTTGCCAAACTACAGTGCCTGGAATTCTTTGGTTAGGGAGGCCACAACTGTTGGTATGGTTTTAAAGGAGACGTAATTCAGCAGGTTTAAGAGAGAGATGCAAACTTTGATTTGTGTAGGGCAGGAGTAGCTAACATGCTCTCCACATGCAGCTCCACATCTGGGGCTGATGGGAGAGGGTAACAACATCTGGATGGCTACCCCTGTCTTAAACCTTTCCAAAGACTACTTGGGGTTGCTTTTCTTAAAAAAAACAACCATGTAGGGTGACTTCTTAATCTGGCACTAAGAGGAGCTCATTGACGTGTCTGATGTATACTCTCAGCAGCATCCTTTAAACAGCACAAACAAATTCTGAAATTTACTCGGAAGTTTGAAAATCCGTCGAGCGATCTGAACGGACTTAAGATTCTAAAGCTACATTTTCAAGTGGGTCCCAGAAAGGGCATAAAAATAATTCCCTTTCTTCGCATGGCTTGGGCTGGATTGGGAACAGCAAAGGGTGCCAAGTCAGCCCATTGATCAATCTAGCTCAGTACTGACTGGCAGCAGCTCTCCTGGGCTGCAGATGGGATATTCCCAGTCCTACTTGGGAGATCCCAGGGATCGAACCATGGACTACATTTCTAAATTCTGTCAAAGTTGACATGAGAACCATGGGCTTTGCCGCAGAGTTCAAATCTTAAAGAGAGAGTTGAGAGGTCATTCAACGGTTCAGGGTCAAATGGGATGGGTGACGCTCACCAGTTGGGCTGGACGTTATGGGGTCGCCCAAAGAGCTCTATTTTGCGGGTCCCAGGCGAGAGCCGCTCAATCATGCCGTAGATCTCGTCTGGCTTGTGACTGGTGGAGCGTACCTGCGGGACAGTAAATTTCACAGACAGTAAATATTGTGGGGGGGGGGATCTTTCCGCCACCCCTGGATCCAGTGTTGGGCTGACCCAACTCTCTGCCTTACCTCTGCCACAATGACGTCGCAGTCAAGACCTCGGTTGAAGCCCTGGGGGTTTCCTTTCACCCCGACCTGCCCACAAAAAAAAAAGATGGTTCAGGCACAATTGGGCTCCTCCGTAACTTGTGCCCATTTACATGCAATGCTTTGCGTCCTCTATTGCAGGGCTCCTCAAAAGAAGGGGCGAGGCATTACCTTCCCCTCTAAGGTGAAGCCGCTAAGAGCAGCTTTTGCAAAGATAGTGTTGGGACTACATCTCCTATCATCTCTTCAGTTGGGGCTGATGGGAGTTGGAGTCCAACAACATTTGGAGGGCACGATGTTGGCTATTCCTGAGCTATCCGTTGCAGTGAATTAGCACTGTTATCACCTGCAATATTGCACGGACCAAGCGTTCTAAAGAAATAGGACACCCAGGAAAGGTGTTTTGACAGACTCCCCACCCCAGGCAAGGCAGAGAAGTACAGGCCACAGGCTAAGCATTTCAGTGGGCTTTGTGGAGCCCACAAAACAATGAGCAGTGGCCCAGGATTTATTCTCCACCCCCCATCCCCCACTGTAATCTAGTGTTCTCAATAATTTGGGTGTTCAGTTGTTTTCAGCCAGGGAAAGCCAGGGGGATGGAAAAGGCATGGGGTATCTCTTGGTTCTTTTCAATAGCCACGAGGGCTAGTAGCTTGCTTTTTTTAAAGTCTCTCCAGCATGCCCAAGTTCTGCACTTGAGGGATTATACATGGACGAGCCAACATGCTGATAATTATAGACTGCCTGTGTGTCTCCCTCCACCCCAAAATAACCAGGACTCCTGTATGCTTTCCGTTTCCATGGGATTCCTAACCTAATTTCTCTCTTCCCCCCATCCCAATTACCAAGCAGTGCTCTTTGCCATGGTTGAGCCAGTGGCCTGTCCGCCCCGTCCGGATAATGCGCTGGAGCTGGTTTGTTTTCACCCAGATTATCTCATCTACTCGCTCGTACCTAGAAAGCAGAGGGAGGGGGGAGGACAGCAGGCAGTGAGACTGAGCAGAAAGAAGAGGGGTTCCAGAAAGGAGAGGACCCTCCACCTTTGGCACTTACCCCCAGAGATTCAGGCACTCCCGGCCGAGTTCCATGGCCCTTGCGGTTGCAACAGAGAGAGAAAAGAGCAATATGAATGGTGAATGAATCATGGCTGCTCATGAGTGGGGAAGAGAGAGACCCTTTCCGCCCCTGTCTCTTGTTGCCCCATAGTTGAATGGGTTGAGGCTGTTAACACTCTTTCCCACTCCAGAACAAGCTTGCTCCTACCTCGCAGGTGGGAGAATCTCAATGTGTCCCTCCTGCCTCTTTTAACTGGCCCCCAGGCCACACGGGCCCTACTTCACAGCCTCTGTATTTTGGCTGCACTTGACCTCTGAGAATGCCTCTTGTCTGCCTGGATGGAGGCTAGAGTTCGATGTGTACAGACCGTAGCCTACAGTACAAAGGCAGCATTTAGATTCATTGTTCCATCTGCTTTTTCCTCTGGTTCCACCCCTTCCTGGCCCCGAAAAGGTTACTTAGACCTAACATGGATCTATCTACCACTCTAAGAAGCCAGGTTCTTCCCGGTTCTCTGTCGCCCTCTGGAGGCGACTCCGGGTCTTGCCGAGATGGCGGTACGTGGGAGAATCTGGTCCTGCCAGGCATTTCTCAGCCACAGATCCCCTCCTGAGCTATGCTGCCTGGGGGCTGATGGGAGTTCAGAGCACAAGAATATCGGGAGGGCTGTAGGGTGGGGAATACCTGGTGTAGTGGTTAGACTGCTGGACCAGGGTTCAAATCCCGTCTCGGCCACCAAACTCACTGGGTGATGCTATCCCTCTGCCTGCCCTACCTGCCAGGGTCGTCGTGAGCATGAAGGGGAAAGGGGAGATCCTCGGAGGAAGAACAAGCTGGGTTAATGTCCCATACCGGCCGGTGACCCACAGAAAGAGGAACCCCTCGTCCTGCAGGACGGGGATGTTGAGGCGCCTCATCTCGTCGTCCGTGAGGGTCCCGTACGGAAGCTCCATGTGGATGTCCCAAGGCGGGTCAGCCATCACGACAGCGAACTTGCCCAGAATGCTGACGTCAAGGTAGCGGATGTCGCAGCAAATCCACTGGGGGCAAAGAGAGGAAACGGGGAAGGGAAAGCCTTAGATAACATGGAGAAGTGCTTCAAAAAAAAAATCAAAATACAGTGGATCCTCTGGATATGGATTTACCGTATTTTTTGCTCTATAAGACTCACTTTTTCCCTCCAAAAAATAAGGGGAAATGTGTGTGTGTCTTATGGAGCGAATGCAGGCTGCGCAGCTATCCCAGAAGCCAGAACAGCAAGAGGGATCGCTGTTTTCGCTGCGCAGCGATCCCTCTTGTTGTTCTGGCTTCTGAGATTCAGAATATTTTTTTCTTATTTTCCTCCTCCAAAAACTCGGTGCGTCTTGTGGTCTGGTGCATCTTATTGAGCGAAAAATACGGTAATTCGTTCCAGGGGTCTCTGCGCACCCCAAAAATCCGTAACCAGAGGCGCCACTTCTGTGCACGGCTGATAGAGCAGTTCTGTGCATGTGCAAGCAGCAAAACCTGGAAAAATACTTCCGGGTTTGCTCCTTTTGCAACCCAAAGACTACATATCCAGATAGGGACGTAACCCGAGGTTCCGCTGTAATTAAGGCGGCATCCACAGGAAGCTGCCTCGTACCAAGTCATGGATGCCTCCCCGCCTCCCCACTGCTGCAGATATCCGCTGCGGCCAGCCCTGGGTACCTGCGGAGGGAAAAGGCGGTCCACGCTGGAGTCCCTCCCCACCGCCTGGGGCAGCGCCAGCTCCTGGCCCGAGCTCAGCTCCCGCCCGCAAGGGGTGTCCAGGTCGGCACAGGCGTCGATTTCGTAGTGGACGTACTTGCAGGTGTCCATGTGGAAGCAGGTGTTGAGGAAGGAGCAGTCCCCCAGAGACTCGTCCGTGTGCTTGTTGATGATGCGGCTGCAAGGAGAAGGGGTGGCTGGCTGCTTCTCTAGATTTTACCTTGCTTCACGTCCACCTTGGACCGTTTCATATGAAGCCTCTGACACACACACACACACGACTGCTCGACTGGATGCGATTTTAACAGGATTCACATATTTCTGGGTTTGGGCTTTACGATACGCGACTTTGAAAGGCCCGTGCGAAAGGCAACCTATCTTAATAATTAGAAATAAAATGGCAAACTAAATATCCCACCCCCTTGAAGGCACGGATCAGGTATGAATAATTATTAAAGTTCATCTAAACTGGTGGTTCTCTAAAGCAGTGGAATCAGTGGTGGGATTACCTAGTGGTGGGAGCTAAGAGGCAAGGGGTTGGCAGCAGGGGCACTGGAGTTGTGAATGACTATCGGACTTTGAAAAGCTGGCATCACTGGATCAAATTCATCAGTTTTGTTGGATTAATTAAACTAAACCACTTTAGCTGGATTTTGAATAAATGTGCAATTAATTGTTACTGTTTTGGATTTTGTTATAATTATTAATTAAATTTCTTTACCTTCATCAGAGGATCAGTATACAGTTTTACACTATAAAAACACAAAAATGTGTAACACAATACCAAACAAAACCATAACACCCCACAACCCACACAGTTTAAAAGGATATAGAGCCATGGTTCCCACAGGGGGCAATTTGATTTTTAAGGGGGGCAATTTGAGAATGAGTTATTAACAGTTAATGGCTTTTTAGGTTTCCTCCACGTGAATTGGATATCACTTTTTGAATAAGAAGAATTATATGTCACCGGGGGGTGGGGTGGGATGGGGGAATCAGGATTTTCGAGATGCTTAGGTGGGACATGGCCAAAAAAAGGTTGGGAACCATAGATTAGTCAAAATCCTGATTATAGAGGAATGGTTTCTCCTGGCACCTAAAGGTATGTAATGAAGCTCCCCAGGGGAGAGGATTCCAAAAGCAGGGAGCCACTGTAGAAGAGGCCCGTTCTCATGTTGCCACACTCCGGACCTCACATGGAAGGGGCCTCAACTGATCAATGCGGGGTCTGGGTTGGTGCATACAGAGAGAGCTTGCCCTCAAGGTACAGTGGCACCTTGGGTTAAGAACTTACCGTATTTTTCGCCCTATAGGATGCACTTTTTCCCCTCCAAAAATGAAGGGGAAATGTGTGTGCGTCCTATGGGGCGAATGCAAGCTTTCGCTGAATCCTGGAGAGCAAGAGGGGTCGGTGCGCACCGACCTCTCTCGCTCTCCAGGATTCAGGAAGCTCTGCGCAACCCTCGGGAGCCTGGCGCGAAGCCGCGCCGGGCTCCCAAAGGTTGCGCAGAGCTGCCTGCATTCCGAAGCCTGGGGCGCGCTGAAGAGTGCGCCCGGGCTTCGCGCAGCTCTCCGCAAGCCTGGGAAGACCGGCGCGGCTCCCTAGGCTTGCGGATAGCAGGCTGTTCTGGGGGCTGGGGTCGGCAGAAGCTCGGGCTTCCCCCGCGCCAGCCCCATGCCTGGGGGGGGGAATAATTTTTTTTTCTTTATTTCCCCACCAACCCAAAAAAACCAGGTGCGTCCTATGGGGCGGTGCGCCCTATGGGGCGAAAAATACGGTAATTCGTTCTGGAGGTGCGTTCTTAACCTGAAACTGTTCTTAACCTGAAGCACCACTTTAGCTAATGGGGCCTCCTGCTGCCACTGCGCAATTTCTGTTCTCATCCTGAAGCAAAGTTCTTAACCTGAGGTACTATTTCTGGGTTAGCGAAGTCTGTAACCTGAAGTGTCTGTAACCCGAGGTACCACTGTATTGCGGTCTGGGCCCTTTTAGGATTTATAGGTCAAAACCAACCTTTTGAATTGGGCCCAGAAATTAATTGGCAGTCGGTGCAGCCGGGCCAGGATTGCCGTTATATGCTTAAAACGATCTTGCCCCGTGGGTGAGCAACCTGGCAGCCAAGTTCTGCCCCAGCTGGAGTTTCCGAACCGTCTTCAGAAACTAGGTCACCTGCATCTTTAGTCTGACTCACTGGGGCTGGTTTTATAAAGCAAGGTCAAGACACGGCATGGAGAAAGACCCCGGCGCTCAGTCACAAAGCCTGACTTCCAAGATCCCACTCTAAAAGTTTCTGGAACTCCTGCAGCATTTCCAAAACTGTTTTGGGGCTCACTGAACCCCAGAGGCTCACCGGAAGTGGAGCTTTCGGCACGGCCGGTCGGCGTCACTGGCCTTCATGCACTCTTCTTTGGTTCCGTAGTCGCAAAACTCTTGCACCTGCGCCCGGCCTCGTGAGCGGAACTTCTCCACGATGGACTGCTCCTTGGCCGTCGTCGTGTTCAGCAGCTCCAAGATCTCCTGGCTCACCTGGGGAGGCAAGGAGGCCGAGACCAGGTCAGTGGAAAGAAAGACACACACAAAAAAATTACCTGGGCTTCCAGTCTTCATGGTTCCAACTGGAATTAATCTTCATTTCTGTTCTCCATCCACATTGCTTGCTAAGAGGGCAGGTCTTTTTCTTGGGGGGGGGGCTTTTTTCTTTTTAAGGGGAGGTATATGTCATCATATCGGGAGCTCCCACGTGCGGCCAATCCTTCCTGAAAGCAGGGCTTGGCGTTTGGAGCTAAATGACTGCAAGCCCCACTCGTCTCCTAGGTTGAGTTTGAGCCAGGATGCAAAGGCAAAAATGCTACTTTGCAGCCACAGTTTGAAGGCATGCCTGAAACGGAAAGAATCAAGGATTCTCTTCTTTGAAGTTGCAACACTTGATGTCATTGTGATATCAGCTGACGTGACAGGTGTGCGGACACACCCACTTGTAAAAGTGGCCCACAGCGTGTATGTGTGTGTGTGTGTGTGTGTGTGCGCTCAGCATCCTCCTGCTGGCCAGATCCTGACCCCCACCCCTAGGGTACACCATCCAACTGACCATCGACGGAGACAGCACACTGGGAAAATTATGGACTCTAGACCCCAAGCATGCAGACCTGCCCAGGTGTTGCGATGTGCAGGGATGCCCTGCTGACCTTTCAGCCACCCTGTGAAGTTCGTGGGGCAGCAGTACACAAGAGAGCCTTCTCTGTGGTGGCCCCCCAAACTGTGGAATGTTTCCCCTTCCAAGGTGCATCTGGCCTTCTCACTACAGTTGTACCTTGGATCATGAACGCCTTGATACTCGGACGTTTCGGCTCCTGAACGCCACAAACCTGGAAGTGAGTGTTCTGGTGTGCGAACATTCTTTGGAACCCGAACATCCGACGGAGCCTCTGTAGCTTCTGATTGGCTGCAGGAGTTTCCTGCAGCCATTCAGAAGCCGCGCTTTGGTTTCCGGATGTTTTGGAAGTCGAACGGACTTCCGGAACGGATTCCATTTGATTTCCAAGTTACGACTGTGTATACATTTCAACGTCAGATCAGGAGCGCCTTTTTTCTGTACAGGTCTTTGAGGGGGGCAGCACCAGATCAGAACACACCTCCAGCATAAATGTCTAGGTGTTGCACTGAGATGTACATAACCCACTTTGGGACTGCATAATGAAAGGAAGGCTGTAAATGCCTAATCCTAAAATAAAACAAATTTTGCCAGGACCGGCTGGTGCTCATTGGGTGGAAAGCAGAGAGGCCAACAGCAGGTGGCGCCAGAGCCAATGACAGCTGGAGCCAACTAATTCTCTTTATGCTGTCGTTTTCCTCCCTGCTGACGTCTTCAAGGGCAACACTTAGTGTAAAAAGGAGGTTATTGTAAAGCATCTTTACAATAAGCTAGTTGATTGGATAACTGATGATGCTATTCTTGCCAAAGAGCAAGCAGGATTTAGACAAGGCAGATCAGCTACAGCCCATTGCTTTGTACTAGCCCATTTTATAGATAAGTATGTTAAGAAACCAGGTAGTGTGCTCTATGCAGCTTTCATTGATCTGAAAGCTGCATTCGATTCAATCTCTTGAATAAGACTGTTGGGATAAGTTGAACGCTTCAAGTATAGACAAAAGATTATTGTTCTTGATTAAATGCCTATAAGAAAACAGTGTGCTGAAAGTGCGTAGCTCTACAAATGGGAAGCTCACAGGAGCCGTGCCAGGCACAAAGGGAGTTAAGCAAGGTTGTATCCTAACGCCCCCATTGTTTAACTTACATATAAATGATATTGTATTACTATGCGTTTATTTATATTGTATAGATCTAATATCAGCTGAGGAAGCCCTTCGGGCGGAAACAAAGGAGATATCCGGAAACCTTGTTCTGCCCAAGTTAGCAGTTTGTACCTGCACCAGCAGTCTACATCAGCTGTGTTGTTCTCGTTACCTTGAAGACTTTTCTATTTTTACCTAAGGATTGTGTTACACAGGAACTCACAAGAAGAAACGGATAAGAAAAGAAGAAATGTATTTTCATAGGTTATATATCGTATATATGAACGGTATATGTTGCACATACTGGGCTAGACCTTTATGTTAGGAAACAACCAATAAAATGTTCACTGTTATGATTATTCAGCCTGTTGCACTTTGTGTATTGTGATTACTGTATTTCTATCTCAAACAAAAGTGGGTCTGAAAAGACTGGTGACTGGGAGCGGCGGCCGAGACCATATAACACCAGTCTTGAAAGACCTACACTGGTTCCTAGTATGTTTCCAAGACCAATTCAAAGTTTTGGTGCTGACCTTTAAAGCCCTAAACGGCCTCGGTCCAGTATACCTGAAGGAGCGTCTCCACCTCCATCTTTCTGCCTGAGGTCCAGTGCCAAGGGCCTTCTGGCGGTTCCCTCGCTGCGAGAAGCCAAGTTACAGGGAAGCAGGCAGAGGGCCTTCTCGGTAGTGGCACCCGCCCTGTGGAACGCCCTCCCACCAAATGTCAAAGACAAAAATAACTACCAAACTTTTAGAAGACATCTGAAGGCAGCTCTGTTTAGGGAGGCTTTTAATGTTTAATAGGTTATTGTATTTTAGTGTTCTGTTGGAAGCCGCCCAGAGTGGCTGGGGAAACCCAGCCAGATGGGCAGGGTATAAATAATAAATTATTATTATTATTATTATTATTATTATTATTATTATTATTGATGAGGGCATTCTCAGGATACTGCCAAAGGGAACAGCTGGCTGTGAATTACAAGAAAACTTGAGGAGGAAGTTGGCAGGCAGTGGCCTCCTCAGGATAAGATGGGCAAGTGAGGGCTGGCCGAGGGCGGGCTGGGGTTGGTGAGGCAGTGCGCCATTTGCCCTCAGGGACCAGACTCTGCTGGTTTTTCACGACCACCTTGGGATTTAGCAGCCGTCCCTCCCTCCCTCCCCTACCTTCTTTTTTTTTTTAACTTTTATTTTGCTTTAAACAGGTACATATAAATATAGACAACCAAAATTACAAAGGAAAATTCCTTAATAGTAATGAAAAAAAACTTTAAAAACTACCAAAAATATCGAAGTACATGACACAGAACATAAGCAACTATGGGAAAGATAAAAGAAAAGAAAAAAGAAAAATAGGGGAAAAAAGAAAAAGAAAAAGAAAAAGGAAGATGAGCCAAAGCAGGAGAGCTCATCTATTGTACACTTCCGTCAAGCTCACAACAGATCATTATTCTTATCCATTATCTCTATCTGCATTCCAAAAGAATCCCTCATCTTGGTATCTGGGAACATTTCTCTATGCAGTATCATTCTAAACGTAGCCAGATCTTTCTTGCTGAGCCCTTGTCCCCTAAATAATTATTTAAACATTCCCATTCTTCTTTCACCAGTTTTTTAGGTTTATCTCTTATTGCATCTGTCAGCTTTGCGAGCTCCAAGTACTCGCACAATTTGACTACCCTTTCCCCTCCCCTACCTTCTTGCTCTGCTGCTCCTTCGTCGACTGCTGGCTCAGCAGGCTCTCAATCTCCAGGTCCAGGTCCGAGGCTTGCTTGCGAGACTTCTTGGGGGGCTCCTTGAGCACCTCGGAAGACGCCAAGGCAGAGGGAGCGGCCCCGGACGCGGAGGCGGGAACCCCGGCGTCCTGCTCCCCGGCTCTCCTCTTTGGCCCTCCGGGCCCGACCCCTTCCCCGGAGTCCTTCTTCTCGGCCACGGCACCCATCATGGCGGAGAGCTTGGAGTGGTCAGCGTAGGTGACCAGCATGGGCTGGTCGTCATCCTGGAGGAGGCCCCGTTTGACCTCGATGAGCTCCTGTGCTGCAAACTTCTGCAAGAGGCTTTCCACGCTCCGCTGAGTGGCGGGGGCTTCGGGCTGCGGGAGAAGGAGTAAGCCAGTCAGAGGAGGTTGAGGAGGTGTGGACCGGCAGCATCAGACAACAGGGGAGTGGAAGAGCTGTGGCTCAGTGGCAAAGCATCTGCCTTGCATGCAAAAGGTCCTGGGTTCAATCCCCAGCATCTCCAGGTAGGGCTGGGAGACACCAGTCTGAAGCTAATTTTAAAAACCGGTGCCCAAGCAACTTTTCCCCTCCCCACTCCCCTTCCTTTCATGTCTTTTAAATTACAGCCATACTTCAGAAGTCGAACAGAATCCGTCCCAGAAATCCGTTCGACTTCCAAAACATTCGAAAACCAAAGCGCGGCTTCTGATTGGTTGCAGGAAGCTCCTGCAGCCAATCAGAAGCCCTGTAAGCCCCGTTGGACATTCGGCTTCTGAAAGAACATTCGAAAACCGGAATACTCACTTCCAGGTTTTGGTCGTTCGGGAGCCGATTTGTTTGGGAGCCAAGGTGTTTGAGATCCAAGGTATAAGCCTGGACACAGACTGTCTTGGTGTTTTGATTTTAATGATCTGCAAGGCCCCTCTGGGAGCCTCTGCCACCGAAGAGTGGAATTTGGGGGTGCATCTGGGGACAGAAAATCATACTGAAAGAGCCATGACTTTTGGGTGCCCTGATGGGGAGGAAGCATAGTTAATGCCATTCTGTTTTTATTGTAATTATTTGTAAGTTTTAAACTGGCTTTACATATGTATAGTTTTAATTCTATTAATGTCTTATTTTTTATTATCCCCCCCCATGTTTTTTAGTGATTTTTGTTTTTATCTGTAAGCCACCTTGAGTCCCATCAGGGAAAAAGGTGGGAGTTTAAATAAATTAATAATAAAGCTTTAGTTGTTTTTCTTTGCAACAAAGTGGACCATGTCCCGCTCACTTTTTAAAGAATAAACAAGACTCTTAGGATCCTGCAGAGAATATTATTGTAATAACCAGAAGTTTCATGAGAGTATATATTTAAAGAAGATGAATCAAAGAACAAATTAGGTTAATTTGGATATGCAGAATATATTAAAAATAAAGTTAAGGAGGGGGAAGGAAGTCAAGTTTTGAAATGTCAAAATGATTGTAAAATTAATGAAATGTTCAAAAGTAGTGAAATGTAAAAACTTGAAAAGTATAAATAATTTTTAATAATAATAATAATGATGATAATGGATCCTGCAGAGGATGTGCCGACTCCCAAATAAACCTGGGGGTCCCTAAAAGTGAACAGACCAATGGGAAGAATGTAGACCTTGCCTAGGAGAGGGCAAGTCAGGGGAGAAGCAGACAATGACATCCAGTCAGATTTATTGCTTTGATGCTCACCGTGGAAATGGCATGGCAGATAGACAAAGCGTCTGTGGGTAGGGCCAGTCCTAAGTCAGAGAGGTGATGCAGGAGCTTCTTCTCAAGCTCAGGATCAGCCACGAGATCCCCTGGCTCAGTGGCGGTGCTGGGCGTGACGGACGAAGGAACCGGACTGTCGCTTCGAAAGGGAGGGCTGAGGGCCAGGTCCGGATTCCTCAGGTCTGATGTAAGGAAAGATGAGGTCATTAAAGAAGAGTGCCGTTGCTGGATCAGGCCATAGGCCCATCCAGTCTAGTTTGCTGCTCCCACAGTGGCTTGCTAAAGGAAGCCTGAAAACAGAACCTGAGTATCACAGCACTCTCTGCATTTGCAATTCCCAGCAAGTGGAACTCAAAGGCATCCTGCCTCTTATGTTCTGCTACGAAGCTTGCTATGAACTTTTGGAAACACGGTGTTGGTTCCTTTTAAAACCGATTTTTTCATGGAGGAAGACAAGCAACTAAAAGAAAGAAGAGTAAAGAACAGAACAGCTCCTGCCGGATCAGCTCACATTAAAAATACAGTAACTGTGGATACATCCATCTTAGGCTAAGCATATATATTGACAAATGCCCTCCAAAGGCAGGCTTCGCAGCCACTGCGTGATGTAGGCCACTGTCAATTGATAAATGAAAACAACAACGGATACAAAAGCTTTATGGAATACGCAGAAACGGCGAAACTTACCGGAAAAATAAGAAATCAAGATAATAAGAAATCTAGAATGGAAATGGTTTGTTGACTATTTACAAACAAACTGTAAACAGTTAAGAACATTGGGAGGATTATTGTAACAACCTGAAGTTCTATAAGAGCAGGCTTCCTCAACCTTGGCCCTCCAGATGTTTTTGGCCTACAACTCCCATGATCCCTAGCTAGCAGGACCAGTGGTCAGGGATGATGGGAATTGTAGTCTCAAAACATCTGGAGGGCCAAGGTTGAGGAAGCCTGTATAAGAGTATACATTTAAAGTAGATGAATAAATGATTAAGTTAATTTGGAATACACAGAAAATATTTTTTTAAAAAAATTAAGGAACCGCATAAAGAGGAGGAAGGAAGTCGTGTTTCGAAGTGTTAAAATGATTTGTAACATTACTGAAATGCATAAAATCGAAAAATAAATAAATGAAAGCAACTAGATGATGCACAGACGGGCAGCCACGCAAAGACGATGTTGGCCAGAAGATGTATTCAGGCGCAGCGAGGATAGTGGATCTGATTCACCGGGGCTCTTAAAAAAATATGTTCTGGACCTGTTCTTGGGGTGGTTTGGCAACCAACCCTTCTCCCCAGGGAACTCTGGGAACTGTAGCTCCGTGAGGAGAATAGGAGTGTCTCCTGACAAGCTACAATTCCCAGGATTTGGGAAACCAAAACTCTTTAAAGTGGCATGGTAACGCTTTAAATGTATGGTGCAAACGGGAGCCTCAGCCATACTCAAGAGGAGAATGGACTTCAGCTACTCGCGCCTAGCCTAGGTCCATTAATACCAATGGGTCTACTCTGAGCAGGACTTACTTGGATGCAGCCCTGCCCTGGTGCTTCCTAGCATCCTATCCTATCCTATCCTATCCTATCCTATCCTATCCACACACCCCTGCGCTTCCTTCGCCTGCTTCCCTTACCCAGGGGGTCCTGCTTGCGCCTCCGCTGCAGCCGCTCCCGCAGCGAGTCCAGCTGCTTCTTGTGAGCCTGGATCGAGCTCCATGTGTCCGACATCGCCCCCGGTTAGCCGGGCAGCGGCTGTCCCGGCAGAGGGGAGGGCCGGGTTGAGAAGGACCGGAAGTACCCCGTGGGGGACGGAGATAAGGGAAGCACACTTCCCGTCGCGTGCCCGTAGTTCGAAGCTGAAACCGGGCAGCCGGTGGGGAGCCGCCTTCGCTTAAGGCGGCGAAGCTCAAGGGGCCATTTTTGAAGTGGGTTCGAGTCTCTACACTACCGACGTTAAGAAAATACTGTACAGTATTAGGAGGATAGTGTTTTTGTCCGGAGGCTGGGACTGATGAGAGCTGAGGAGAGCCGCAGCCATTGGATCACACACACACACAGAGTGCTTTTTTTCTTAAAAAAAATGTTTAGGGGGTACTCTCATTTTTATTCACGAAAAATCATCATTTTATAGTTCAAATCGGGGGAAATAAATATATTAAACGGACAAAAGTACAAAGATTCTCAAAATGTTTAGGGTATGCGTACCCCCCAGAAAAAAAGCACTGTATTTTTATAATTTTTATATAAATATTTGGGCAGCATTATGTCCTACCCAATCTCCAAATACAGTAGAAACCAATCCAGGCCTTCTTTCGGGTGCAGGAAATCTGATCTTGTTTAAAAATTGTACTTTAAGAACAAAACAAAAAAGCACACACACAACCGTACTCTTAATTAGCGAAGGCCAAAGTTTCCAGGGACACAGGTGGCGCTGTGGGTAAAACCTCTGCGCCTGGGACTTGCTCGTTCGGTCCCAGCTCCTGCCCACCTAGCAGTTCGAAAGCACTCTTAAGTGCAAGTAGATAAATAGGTACCGCTTTATAGCGGGAAGGTAAACGGCGTTTCCGTGTGCTGTGCTGGCTCGCCAGAGCAGCTTCATCACGCTGGCCACGTGACCCGGAAGTGTCTCTGGACAGCGCTGGCTCCCGGCCTCTTAAGCGAGATGGGCGCGCAACCCCAGAGTCGGACACGACTGGCCCGTACGGGCAGGGGTACCTTTACCTTTACCTAAAGTTTCCAGAACAGGAGACGAGCGTCACTCTATTGTGGCAAAAACACATCTATCGTGGCATAACCTTTCATGGACTGGAGCTCACCTTTGCCAGATCCTGAGTTACACATGGTTTAGGGAGACCAAAGTGTGAAACTGCTAAACTGCAATACTGGTAGAGATTCAGTGCCATCTCTGGCAGTTGATTTCAAGCATATTATATGTATTAATCGGCATACCAGTGTCAGGATGACTGTGTTATCGATGGCTGTTTTGCAAATTCATTGCCACTGTAAGGCACTTATTTATCACCGTCCTAAATTTTCTGCAGTTCATTTCTCTCTGAATTCATGATTCGCACCCTAACTCCCAACTCTCTGTGTGTGTTGCAATTCAATATAACACTTCGTGCATCTGATGGACTGGAGCGAAAGCTTATGCCACCATAAATTTGCTAGTCTCTTGCAGCAGAAAGGAGTCTCCTGGCACCTTGAAAGACTTAGGCAGCTTCCCCTCTGGAATTTGCAGGATGAATAAGAGCAAAAGATGTTGAGGATGGTAAATGGGGATGGGTGGGGAGGATTAGTTCTGAGAAGGAAGTGCCCCCTCTCCTTTGGACGGCTGCCAGGTTGAAGCTGCAACAAAGGAAGAGCTTGAGCTCATAAGCCGCTAAATAGCATTATCCGTAACCGATGGGAAGGGGAGGGGAAGAGAATCGGATGCTGCAAGCCACTTCCTTGACACATGGAAAGAGGTTTCTAAGCTTAATGCAAAGGTGCTTAACCTGCACTGCAGATTATTATTTTTTTCAGTTGTCGACCAAAGATGGATGTCAACGTCCCATTTCTAAAAATTTTTTTTTATTAGTATTTGTTACTTATTTACAAAAAAAAAAAAAGGTATCCAAAGGAGTCCAGGGCTGCAAACAACAAACTGAGAAAGCATCTTAGGAGCAATTCCAATACAGATGCATACTGGGGAAGATCTCAAAAGGCTTGTAGGAAGATGAAGGTCTTCAGTAGGTGACAAGCAGACAGCAGAGATGGCACCAGCCTAACGTTCAAGGGGAAGAAGTTCCATACAGTGGGTGCCACAGCAATGAAGGCTTGAGCGGTATATTGTATTGGATGGGCGCAGAGATTGATTGGGTATGGGGTGAGAGATTCTTTCAGGTGATTATTTATGAATCAGGTGATTGACAGTTGTATCGGGGACCACATGAACCCTTATATCCCAGCTTGGTCACTGAGATCGTCCGCAGAAGCATCGCTGGTCGTTCCCCAAGTTGACAAAAGCTCACCTGGCAACAAGAGACCGAGCCTTTTAGTGTTACCGGCCCAGTATTGTGGAATAGTGCAACAGTGACTCCGCAAGTGCCTTTCATTTAAGACTTGAAACATCTGCTGGAAACTTTTCTATTCCATCAGGTTCATGCTTCATCATTTAATCAGGTATTCTTCTTCTTTTAAAGTTAACTCTTTTTAATACAAATACTTATGAAAACAGCCCTAGAAGCAGCTCCCCATCCTGGCTAAGAGGAAATGTCTTTTTCTAAAGCAAAGAGTACACCACTCTTTAACTCAAGAGTAGACCCCTTGAATTGAATATAGACCTTTTAACCATGCCCATTAAGTTCAATGGGCCCATCCCAAGTAAGACTAATTTTTTTTCTTCAGAATTATCTTTATTCATATGCAAATGCTAAATATTAAAATGCATACAATTGAGTTAAGATGTATTTTGTCAGGAGGCAGCCCTTATTTAGAGAAAGACATAAATATTCCAGATAAATGGGGTGGATGGGGGAGAAATGCATTTGGGGGGGGGGGGTCAGACTCTCTTTACCTCGGACTCCCCTGTACTCATCACTGCCTCCTGCTGGACAGACTGCTATGTACCGGTAACTCGTATCTTACAGGGAGGTTACATACTGAGGGTCCATATGTATACAGTGATACCTTGGTTTGCATACGTTTTGGATTACAAACACGTCCAACCCGGAAGTGCGTGTCCCGGTTTGCAATTTTTTGGGGGGGATTACAACCATTTTTTAATTATTATTATTATGAACAATTTTTTTTTGAAGGCCCCACTGGCGAAAGCGTGCCTTGGGCTACCACCTGTTTTGGTTTACAAACGGACCTCCGGAACGGATTATGGTTGTAAACCAAGGTACCACTGTACTAAAAAAATGTATAAAGCCAGGAACCCAGGGAACTGCCCCCACCCCCTGCAAGGTGGAGGGCTGTTTACCAAAGTTTGGGTTTCCTCCGCTCTCCGTTCATTTATCTATTCCACCCAACCCGTGCAATCGCGCAAGTTAAATGTGTGTGAGTTGTGAGTTACACACAACTGTGAGTTACCTGTATTTGAAGTGTACGTGAAGAGAGACCCTTTTGGCTTGCATCAATTGCAGTGTGTGTGTGTGTGTGTGTGTGTTGGGGGTCAACATCAGGGGGCTAAACCAGGCGCCCCTCCAGCTCTTTGTAGAAATAAAGAGCCACAGACTTGGTAGTTCTGTCAAACTGCTTTTATTGGGGAGCTCAAGATGTCCTTCCCTTCGCTTGAATGGACCGTCCGGCATCCTTGCCCTAATCTAAATGAGACACACTTTCACTTCCTTTTTCTTCTCCCCATGGGTGCAGGGTGTGTGCCGTGCTTCCCTGACCCGCGACAGGATCCTGCCTTTCGGCCGACGGACATCCAAGCTACATTTTAAAAGTAAAAGACTAAAATGTTGCTAAAATTAAGACCGGAGCCACTTCTCTTCTTGCGGGACTGCGCTTGGGGAAAGGGGGGGGGCGTCCCCGCCAGCCGGGGTATCGCTAAAACAGTTCCGCCTGGAAAAGATAGGAAAGGAAAAGAAAAAAGTTGGTTCCGGAACTGGAATATTAATAGATAACGTGTAAAACGTGCAGGGGTAAGCAAGGAAATAATAAAAGAATCAATTGAATAATTATTAAACTACAACAACACAACAAGATGGAAGACGTTAGAAAAATATATTGAAATCACACATGGGTAAAGGGAAGTGGGGAATTTATAAAAATTTCTAATATAATATTTCTAATTGCGTTGCATTTATATATAGCAAAGGGAAGTCTATAGCGATTAGGTGTATTTTAATCTAGTCAACTATGTAATAGGCTTATGTTACAAAACTAATATGGATTTTGAATTTGATGTTTGTAATTCTTTTTCGGTTTTGGAATAAAGTTTTAAAAAAAAGAAAAGAAAAAATTTAGGGAAAAAGAAACCACACTCACTCACCCTGTGGTCTAGCTCCTTGCAAATCACTACTTTGACACCCGCATCGCAAAAACGTGACTGCTTTGTTCATGGCAAAGCATCCTGCAAAGTCGATCCAGAGAGTGGATGACCAAACTTTCCAAAATCTGCTCATCGTTATGAACTCTGTAACACTGAAGAACTGGTGCATGTGTTTGCTTGCTTTCCTCTTCCCTCCTCACCCCTTTTTCCTTAAGTGTTCTATCTCTTAGACCGCAAGCGGAGATGTGACTCATTGTTGCTATTTGTAAGCTATTCAAGGAGCCTTTCGGGGCTGAGGAGAAATCTAGAAATGTCTTAAATGTGCGGGGAACTAAAAATAGGGTCTTCTGCACCTTTTAACAGGTTTCTTGGAGACATCCAATTGGATACCTTTGGGAACAGGATGCTGGGCAAACATTCAAAAGACAGCCGTTCCCAGGCTAGCAGCAACACGCTGTGCTCCCTTCCCTCCTTCAGCCCAACAGTCCCCATCAATTTACTCTCGCCTCTCCTTGCTAACTCTGGAAGTTTTGACAGGGTTGCCATATTTCAAAAAGTGAAAAACTGGAGACAAAAGTTGTTGAGCTTTCTTTTGCAAAATCTCAAAGAGAGGTTTCTGAGCTATTTTAAAGGAAATTTGCCAAAATCTACGCTTTCAACATGTGTTGCAATACGTCTGGATTTTCCTGGACATTGAAGCGTTTTCTGACGAATCCTGGCTACGTCTGAGAAATTCCTGAAGTATGGCAACCCTAGTTTTACATTGGGAGGATAAAGAATATGCAAACCATGCCTGTATTTCCTGCCACTTCAGAATGTCTCTACCTTGCCTTGAGCGTAGGGATAGAGGAAGCTGTCTTTTACTGGAGGCTGCTGGGTCCATCTTAGCTCAGTATTGTCTACACTGACTGGGCAGCAGTTCTCCAGGTCCTTTTAAGCAGGGGACATTCCCGGCTGTACATGGCGATGCCAAGGGACCTGGGACCTTCTGCGTGCAAATTAGATGCCATGGTAATGAGCTACAGCCCATTTTAGAAAGCAGAGTCCTCCCCAATCACATCCGAGCCATCATCTCCCCCACACAAGGACCATCTAGTGAGAGGTGGAAGAGGAATGTTCTCTGCGCTTTGCACCTTTTAAAGCTGTTTCCATGGGTGAAATCAGGAGTGTGGAACCTGTGGCGTCCCCAATATTGCTGGACTCCCCACTCCCATTAACCCCAGCCAGCATAGCCAGTGGTCAGGGATGATGGGGGCAGTTGTTCCGCAACATATAGAGGGCAGCAGATCTGCCCCACCACCCAAGCGGTATACACGATCTCAAAGTAGGACCCTCGTACCTACGGGACCGCCTCTCCCAGTATGCCCCATGGAGGACCTTAAGGTCCATAAATAGTAACACCCTAGTGGTCCCAGGCCCTAAGGAAGTCAGATTAGCCTCAACCAGAGCCAGGGCCTTCTCAACACTGGCTCCGGCCTGGTGGAATGCTCTGTCTCATGAGACCAGGGCCCTGAGGGATCTGATTTCTTTCCGCAGGGCCTGTAAGACAGAGTTGTTCCACCTGGCCTTTGGCTTGGAGTCAATTTGATTCCCTCCCCCTCTTTTTCCTTTCTCCTCCTGTGATGAGGCTGCATTTTAATGTTTTAATGTTGTATTTTAATCTTGTTTTTAAGTTGTATTCATTCAACTTGTTTTTATTATTGCTTGTTAGCCGCCCTGAGCCCGGCCTTGGCTGGGGAGGGCGGGGTGTAAATTTTTATTATTATTATTATTATTATTATTATTATTATTATTATTATGGCTTCCAGCAGCAGATACACTGGGCAGAACAGCAGTGGGGTTGGATTGCTCAAGGCAGTGACGGCATACATAGCAAACCACCGAGGGCGCTGCTCGTAACAGCCTCCACCCAAGCCCATACACCTGGGTCCCATGAATCCAGACCTCCCTTTGCCGCAAATCACAAATCCTATCACCGGTCAGATTTCAGAATTTCATAGAATTACAAATCCCACTTCTGGCTGAGCTTTGGCCAGCAAATTCTGCGTCGCAAAGTTGCACAGCGGCTGGAGATGGACAGACAGGTTGTGCACCCACAGAAGTGACCACAGGAGAAACGGCCCAGAAAGAAGAAGAGTTTGGATTTGATATCCCGCTTTATCACTACCCGAAGGGGTCTCAAAGCGGCCAACATTCTCCTTTCCCTTCCTCCCCCACAACAAACACTCTGTGAGGTGAGTGGGGCTGAGAGACTTCAGAGAAGTGTGACTAGCCCAAGGTCACCCAGCAGCTGCATGTGGAGGAGCGGAGACGCGAACCTGGTTCACCAGATTACGAGTCCACCGCTCTTAACTACTACACCACACTCTGCCGTGGTGTATCTGCAGAGGCACAACGGGATTCCTCCATCTGCCCCAACTGCAACAAAACATGTCTCTCCCACACTGGCTCCTGCAGCCACAGCAGGCGCTGTGACTCTCCAACAGCTTGACTTCACTTCTCCCTTGTCCCTCGAAACGGATGCCAACCCAACCCACCAGGGCCCAGCTTCCAACTCCACCAGGCAAAAGTTGCAGCCATAATGGGTCTCCTCCACCTTGCCTTACCTGATGGAGGTGCTACGTCAGGATATTACTTTTCCCCCTTCACTTGGTTCTCAGGGATGACCTCCGGGGCTGGGACTGGCGGCGGCGGAGGAAGCAGCAGCAGAGACCCCACCGGCGGCTTCTCCTTGGCCTCGCTGGGAGCCACCTTCGCGGGAGTGACGCTGGATCCGAAGAGGCCGTGGGTGCCCGCGTTGGATGCCGAAGAAGAGGAGGAGGAGGAAGCGACACCACTACCCCCACCGTGAGCAGGCTTGGTCGGGAGGCCTCCAGAAAGGAAGGCCGTGTACTGGTTCCAGAAAGAGAGGGGGCCCACCCCCACGAGCTGGGCTGGGATGTCGCGCCCCAGGAAGTCCTGGAGCTTGACCTGGCCCCCCGACAGCACCGGCACGGGGCCTTCTAGGGGCAGGCGCCTCCCTCGGCGGGCCTGGTTGCTGCTCCACACGTGGCCACTGAGATTAACCTTTCGGAGAAAGACGAAAGAGATGGGCACTTAACACAGGCGGTGCCCTGAGCCGACACTCCTAATAATAATAATTTATTATTTATCCCCCCACCCATCTGGCTGGGTTTCCCCAGCCACTCTGTGCAGCTCCCAAGAGAATATTAAAAACACAATAAAACATCAAACATTAAAAACTTCCCTAAACAGGGCTGCCTTCAGATGTCTTCTAAAAGTCCTTGACATCTGATGGGAAGGCATTCCACAGGGTGGGCGCCACCACTGAGAAGGCCTTCTGCCTCGTTCCCTGTAACCTCACTTCTCGCAGCGAGGGAACCGCCAGAAGGCCCTCGGTGCTGGACCTCAGTGTCTGGGCAGAATGATGGCAGTGGAGACGCTCCTTCAGGTATACTGGGCCGAGGCCATTTAGGGCTTTAAAGGTCAGAACCAACACTTTGAATTGTGCTCAGAAACATACTGGGAGTCAATGTAAGTCTTTAAGGACAAGTGTTAAAATGGTCCGGGTGGCCACAAGGGGAGGAATGATGCTGGTTTGACCCAGAAGACAGGAAGCTTCCTCATATCGAGTTCACCCAGCTCACTATTGTCTACACTAACTGGTAGCAGCTCCATACCCTCCAACATTTCTCTGACAAAAATAGGGATGCCCCATTCCATAAGGATAATTTTACCGTTTATACCCCACACATCTTACTGGGCGGCTTCCAACATATTAAAAAACATAATAAAACATTTTTTAAAAGCTTCTGTATACATGATTGCCTTCAGATGGCGTGTGTGTGTGTGTGTGTGTGTGTGTGAGTGAGAGAGAGAGAGAGAGAGAGAGAGAACTCCATAGCCTTCAACATTTCTCCAATGAAAATAGGGTCATCCTAAGGAAAGGTGAGGGACGCGGGTGGTGCTGTGGTGTAAACCACTGAGCCTTGGGCTTGCCAGTTGGAAGGTTGGCGGTTTGAATCCCCGCAACGAGGTGAGCTCCCGTTGCTCAGTCCCTGCTCCTGCCCACCTAGCAGTTCGAAAGCACGTCAAAGTGCAAGTAGATAAATAGGTACCACTCCAGCGGGAAGGTAAATGGCGTTTCCATGCGCTGCTCTGGTTTCGGTGTTGCATTGCACCAGAAGCGGCTTAGTCATGCTGGCCACATGACCTGGAAAAACTGTCTGTGGACAAACGTCGGCTCCCTTGGCCTGTAAAGCGATGTGAACGCCGCAACCCCAGAGTCATTCGTGACTGGACTTAACTGTCAGGGGTCCTTTACCTTTAAGGAAAAGTGGGACATTCCAGGATGAAATCAGAAACCGGAATGGCTTCTCTAAATCAGGGATGTCCCCTGGAAAATAGGCGCACTTGGAGGGTCAGCAGCTCTCCAGGAATTTCAGGCAGGGGGCATTCCTAGGCCTACCTGTAGATGCCGGGAACTGAACCGGGGAACTTCTGCATGCAAGGCAGATGCTCTGCCGCTGAGCTATGGCCCTGTCCCATTTCTATCATTCGCCATGGCTTCTAAGCATGCTTCCCAATGGAAGCAACACCACCTTAAATGGTGCCCACCATAGCTGTCAACTTTTCCCTTTTCTTGCGAGGAATCCTATTCGGAATAAGGGAATTTCCCTTAAAAAAAGGGAAACGTTGACAGCTATGGTGCCCGCATGTGCAATGCCGAACATCAAAATATAGGCGGCTGCCTATATTCTGCTGTTTCAAAGACTTTTGATCCACAGCTGCCATCAAAATTACTCAACCCCCACTGCAAATCAGGTTTATCATTAGAATTCCCAGACTTTCAGCTGTTTGTAAAGAGCCAATTGAACAAAAGCAAATGAAATAGCTAGGCGCAAAGGATGCTTCAAGCGGGTTCCCACAAATTCAGCTGAAATTGCAACTTGTACTGGCTCTTCGCTGGTCCTGCTAGCTAGGGATGATGGGAGTTGTCCAACAACAGCGGAAGAACCAAGTTTGGGAAGTACTGCAAGAGAGACGAAGCAGAGTGGCGACAGCAGCACAGATCTCTGACCAAGAAAACTAGGGTCTAGTGACCGTGGTACAGGCCTTCAGCCAAAAATCCTTTCTCCCCTTTCCTTTATGTTAATGTTGCTTTCCTTTCTTTCATGCTTTCACACAATTCAGGTTTCTGTGTGTCTCTGTGTGTATTGAGGGGGTTGTTACAGGTTGATATCTGTTTTGTTGCTTTCAGGATTATAGCTATTTTTAAAAAAATCAAACTGTTTCTTTAAATTTTCTGGTAATTTCCTTAATATATTTAGTTTACTGCATGCATGCTTTATGCCACTTTCATTTCCTTTTCGGGGAAAAACATTTATTTAAAAATAAATAACTAACACCAACAAGCTACGCCACATGGGGACAGAAAGCTGCAAGCCTTTGTAAGGCCTAGGGTAATCAAACTGGGCTGCTGCTGTACTGCCAAGATGCATTTTAAACCTTCGGGCTTCAATAAATGTGTGCTTACAGGGATTCTATCGCTACAGACTTTTATTTTGTTGCTTCTAAATAAATATATCATGAACTGCCGTGTGATCTTAACCTGACGGGTGGTCCAAGTGGAAGAAACGAAAATTATAAGGCTATAAAGATGTTTTGCCACACTCCAGAACTGTGAGGCAACGTGGTATCGTATTCCCTACAACGGTGCCCTTTGTGCCCCAGTTCTGCCTCTAGAGGGGGGCAGAGAGCGCACCAAGTGCAACCAGCTTCCTGTGTCAATCCTGTGCAAGGGAGATGTACTTCCTGTAAAGGTGCCTTGCACTCCCCAGTTCTGCCTCTAGAGGGGGACAGACAGCATGCCAAGTGAAGCCAACTTCCTGAGTCAATAAAGCGATGGAGAAGGAAATCACAAGGGAACTGGGGATAGGCAGAACACTTACTATAATAGGAGACACTGAGAAGGAGCAACGGTCTCTCCCTTACCTGGTGGTGGGCAGCCAGTGCGTGCTTGCGCAATGCGGCCCTGTCGGGGAAGGCCTGCTTGCAAATCCCACAAACCAGCGTCGGCCCCTCTTTGGCTTGACTGCCCTCTTGCTTCTCCGATGGGCCTTCCCCGCCGGTTTCCTGTTCCTCCTCCTGTTCTTGCGGCATTGCCCCTCCTGCCTTTTCCCCCTCCGCCTTCTCTTCCCCTTCCTGCATGGGCCGCTGAGGGCTTCCTGGCCCTGATGGCAAGGCAGCATTGGTGCCACCGTCTTCCTCTTCCGCCTGCACCGCTTCTCCCCCTTCCTTGGTGAGGCCCGGAGCTTCCTGTTCCGGGCTGGAGGGCCCCTCGGCCTTCTCCCCTCCACTTTCCAGGGAGTCTTCGTCGGTGGGTTCTTCTTCCTCCTCCTCCGACAGTTCCTCGTCTTGCGGAGGGGCCTGTTGCTGCGGTTGCTGCTGCTTCTCGCCTTCCCCCAAGGTGGCCCCTTCCGAAGTCGGGGTCTCAGGGAGGAGCGCTCCGTTGGGGATCTGCCCGCCCAGGTGCATGCGGACGTGCTGCTGGAGGCTAACGGCGTTGGTGAACTTCTTCTGGCAGATGGGGCAAGAGTTCTGGGCCCGGGCTGCCGAGCTGGTTTTGTGGCCCACAAAGTGAGCGCGCAGGTTCCCCCGGGTGGAGAAGGCCCGCCCGCACACCTTGCACTTGAAAGGCCTCTCCCCTCCGTGCTGCCCGTAGTGGAGCTGCAGGGCTCGAGGGCAGCTCAGGACCCGCAAGCAGATCACGCACTGGTTGGGCCCCGAAGAAGCGGGCAGGGAAGAGGAGGAGGAGGACCCAGCCACAGCTTGGGCGGCCGTGACGGGAGCAGAGCAAGAAGATGACGACGGAGACCCCTGGCGGTCAATCTTCTCCACCAGCTGCTGGAGCTTGGAAGTCTCTGAGGGAGACGCTTCCAGCACGTAGGGGAAAGGCCCCACCGCTGTGCCCGCCTTGAAGTGATTGGCTAGCAAGGCCCAGCTGGGCAGCGATCCCACCAGCTTCCCCAGCTGAAGCCGGGCACCCTCCGTCTCCCTTTCCGGTGGGGTGTTCTCGTCCCCCTTCCCTTTCGCCTCCACTGCCTTCATCAGAACCAGCTTGTTGAAGCTGGGCAAGGCCTGGGCTGCCGCCGACGGTGAGGCCCCGGACAGCAGGGTGAGGCTCTCAGTGGCGCTCAGGGCCTTGCGTTCGGCGGTGGGCGGAGGGGTGGTTTCCTCTCCGGGCTCGGCCTTTTCGGGCGGCACCGACATGCCGTAAGGTAGCCCCGACGTGGTGAGGACGTAGTCCAGGTGCTCTGGGACGGGATGGGGGTTCATCTGGACGTGGGGGTATTTCTCCCGGTGGCGGTGAAAGTGCACCTTGAGGTTGCCGCGGGTGGTGAAGCGGTTGCCGCAGATGTTGCACTTGTAAGGGCGCTCGCCCGTATGGGAGCGCAGGTGGATCTGCAGGGCGCTGTCGCTGCCAAAGACCTTGCCGCAGAAGCGGCACTTGTGGCGCCCTCCGGGCTTCTCCTCCAGCCTGCTTTCTAACCCTCCTCCTCCTCCCGCTCCTCCCCCGTTCTTCTGCCGCAGGAGCCCCGGAGACGTCGCCTGCTCCAAACCCCGGGCGCTGCCCAAGCACTGGGCGGCCAGGATGCCCGTAGCTGTGGGGAAGGCCGGAGCCAGGAGCTGCTCGGCCTTGGGCACTCGGGCGCCTCCGGGGAAAGGGTGGTAGAGGTGGAAGAAAGCAGGCTTGGGGACCTCAGGGGAGCTGGACGCCTGGGTCCTCCCTGGCTCTGTTTTGATGGAGAAGACCGGCAAGGGGGGCTTGGGAGGAAGAGACGCTCCCGGGGCCGGCTCGGAGGAAGGGGTCGGGGAGCCCACCTGCCCCAGGGACCCCAGCAGCAGCACCTGGCGGCAGATCTGCTCGGTCATCTGCATTTGGTGCAGCTGGCGTTGCTGCAGGACCCGGAGCTCTTCCAAGATGAGGGGGATGTTGAGGTGCCCGGCGGGGACAGAGGCGGAGGAGGCGGGCAGTGTTGGGGGAGGCGGGGGAGGGGGCCGGGGAAGGGCCGCCTCTTGGGTTGGGTCGGACAGCAGCGTCCCCGATTCGACGTCCATGCTCTGAGGGCTCTCGGGACGGACTTCCACCGAGGAAGAGGAAGACGAGGAGGAGAGGCTGGAGTGGTCCTGACCAGCGGCGGCTGTAGCTGCCGCCGCAGAGGAGCAGGTGGGCTGCTCCGAGCAGCAGGAATCCACGTGAGCGGACAACTCGGAGGGATCCTTGAAGTTGGTACGGCAGGCGGGGCAGGATAATGGGGCTGTCTCGTCCCCAGTATCTCCTGCAGAGAAAGGGAGACAGAGAGAAAGGGGGTGGGGTTATTTTGGATCAGCAATCTATTTCTTTCATCACATTCATATATCCCATACTTTCCTCCAAGATGGTGTCCGTAGTTCTCCTCTTTCTGATTTAATCCCCAGGTGGGTTAGGCTGAGTGAGCGACTTGCCCCAAGTCACCCAGTGAGCTTTAGGGCCACGTGGGGATTTGAACCCTGGTCTCCCAAGTCCTAATCCGACACTCTAACCCAGTGTTTCTCAAACTTGGGTCCCTAGTTGTTGTTGGACTCCAACTCCCATCATCCCAGCTAGCAGGGATGATGGGAGTTGTAGTCCAACAACAGCTGGAGACCCAAGCTTGAGATACAGTGGTACCTAAGGTTAAGAACTTAATTCATTCTTAACCTGAAACTGTTCTTAACCTGAGGTACCACTTTAGCTAATGGGGCTTCCCACTGCCGCTGCTGCACGATTTCTGTTCTCATCCTGAAACAAAGTTCTTAACCCAAGGTACTATTTCTGGGTTAGCGGAGTCTGTAACTTGAAGCGTATGTAACCTGAGGTACCACTGTACTCTGCTCCAACCACTACAGCACTCTGGCAACCAAGAACACCTGATCTTTAACCAGAAAGATGCACAGGACAACTGCAGATCAGATAGAAGCTAGTGGAAACACTCAGATTTTAGTGAATGGAAACAGGATGCAGGAGGTCCCAGCTTCAATCTCTGATATCTACATGAAGGACATGGCTGTCAGTGGCTATTGGCCATGATGGCTCTGCTCTGCTCCCTTGGTCAGAGGCAGTTATGCTTCTGAATACCAGCGGCCGGAAGCCACCAGAGAGGAGAGTGTGCCTGTGCTCAGGTTTTGTTTGCTAGTTTTCCACAAACATCTGGTTGACCACTGTGAAAACAGGATACAGTGGTACCTCGGGTTAAGTACTTAATTCGTTCTGGAGGTCCGTTCTTAACCTGAAACTGTTCTTAACCTGAGGTACCACTTTAGCTAATGGGGCCTCCCACTGCCGCTGCGCCACCGGAGAACGATTTCTGTTCTCATCCTGAAGCAAAGTTCTTAACCTGAGGTACTTTTTCTGGGTTAGTAGAGTCTGTAACCTGAAGCGTATGTAACCCGAGGTACCACTGTACTAGACAGCACACACCACTGGCCTGATCCAGGTTCTTCTTATGGCTGGAAACAAGCGTTCAGATTTCACCAGGCACGTTTTGCACCTGGCTATTGGCCACTTGTGACCAAGTGAAGTTGCCCGGGCGTCAGGATGGTGCCTTGACGTCTCCACCATCTGGAGGTGCGTGCCTGCGGATCCTTGGATCCGGGCTATTTTCACACACTAGCAAGACATCCTGCAGAATTCTATCCATTATATTTTATCTGCACCATCGTAATGAATTTCTGGAACCAAAAAGTCGTATTGAAAAATACACGACTTTCGAGCCATCTGGCCCCAAATGGCAACTAGGCATTCCGTTTTGGCAACTGTAACCCTGGTTTAAGGAGCCATTTGGTGCATAGCTTATATAACTGAGTATCTGTTGGAGATGTCCCTTGCTTGAAACTTTGCCGGTCAGTGTAGACAATACTGAGTTAGGCAGACCAAAAGTACAGTGGTACCTCGGGTTAAGAACTTAATTTGTTCCGGAGGTCCATTCTTAACCTGAAACCGTTCTTAACCTGAGGTACCACTTTAGGTAATGGGGCCTCCCGCTGCCACCGTGCCACCAGCGCGCGATTTCTGTTCTCATCCTGAGGTAAAGTTCTTAACCCGAGGTACTAATTCCAGGTTAGCGGAGTCTGTAGCCCGAGGTGTTTGTAACCTGAGGTACCACTGTATAAGGAAGCTGGCCCATTTAATGCTCACAACTAGGTACGTCCTCCAACTTGTGTTACAACCCTCTCTCTGCTCAACATCTGCCAATATTTTGATGTAAACATACAGTGGTACCTCAGGTTAAGTACTTACCGTAATTTGTTCCGGAGGTCCGTTCTTAACCTGAAACTGTTCTTAACCTGAAGCACCACCTTAGTTAATGGGGCCTCCTGCTGCTGCCACGCCGCCAGAGCATGATTTTTGTTCTTATCCTGAAGCAAAGTTCTTAACCTGAAGCACTATTTCTGGGTTAGCGGAGTCTGTAACCTGAAGCATCTGTAACCTGAAGCGTATGTAACCTGAGGTACCACTGTATACTATATTATATTAATTATATTATACATCTAGTTAATGCAGCATTTGTCAAGCTTGGATTCCCAGATGGTGTTGCACTACAAGTCCCAGAATCCCCAGGCAGCTTGGCCAATGGTGAGGGTTGACTGACAGCCGCTCTTTCGGACCTCTGGCCCTTCCATCGGAGGTTCTTTAAGCTGGAGATGTCGTACAGTGAGCCCAGTAGCTTCTCCATGCAAAAGCAGGTGCCTTGCTGTAGCCCCCTTCCCTAACACACTACCCCCCACCAGCAAGTACCTGGTTTTGCAAATACTTTAAAAAGAAAAAATGAAAGACCATAAGACGAGCCCCAGTGGATCGTGCCAGTGGCTCGTCTAAGTCCAGCATCCTGTTCTCACAGCGGCCAACCAAATGCCTATGGGAAACTGGCGTGCAGGATTCGAGCACAAGAGCTCTCTCCCTTCCTGCAGTTTCCAGTACGCTTCTGGTATTCAGAAGCATCACCTCCTTCAACTATGGAGGCAGAGCAAAGCCATCAAGGCTAGTAAGCCACCAAAAGCCTTAACCTGCACAATTTTTTTCTAATCCACTAATTTTCTAATCCAAGTTGGCGGCCATCACTGCTTCCTCTGGCAGTGAGTTCCATCGTTTAACTACGCACTACGTGAAAACGTATTTCCTTGCCACACGGTGTCCCCCGTCCTAAGAGGGAGAAAAACTTTTCCCTGTTTCCTCCATATGTCGAAAGCAAGCAATGTTTCTACTTCTCATTGCCATCCTGTTATACAAACAAACCTGCCAGCCCAGAAAACGTGGCAGGCATGCCAAAGAAATCGTTCTACCCGGACACTGAGGTCCAGCGCCGAGGGCCTTCTGGCGCTTCCCTCACTGCGAGAAGCCAAGTTACAGGGAACCAGGCAGAGGGCCTTCTCGGTAGTGCCACCCGCCCTGTGGAACACCCTCCCACCAGATGTCAAAGAGAAAAACAACTACCAGACTTTTAGAAGACATCTGAGGGCAGCCCTGTTTAGGGAAGCTTTTAATGTTTGAGGTTTTAATGTTTGTATTTTAATATTTTGTTGGAAGCTGCCCAGAGTGGCTGGGGAAGCCCAGCCAGATGGGCAGGGTATAAATAATAAATTATTATTATTATTATTATAAATGGAAGGAAACAAAAATATAGAAGAACCTCCTTCCTTGGAGGTTTTTAAGCAGAGGTTGGGTGGCCATCTGCCATGGATGCTTTAGCTGAGATTCCGGCATTGCATGAGGTTGGACTAGATGACCCTTGGATCCCTCCCAACTCCAAAATCCTATCATCCTACAAAATGGGAAGGCAGACAAACAGATCTCATGCAATTTTAAGAATGGAAAAGAAAGATTGGGATCACCATGGCAAACATTTTTTTTTAATTACCTGAAAGCCCAACCCACATCCAACTAATTTGCAAGCCCCCTTCTCCAGCAACCCACCTTTGCAAGGTTCTGCCCATTCATACATCGTTCTCTCTAGAAAAGAAGGGAGGGAGGAAGGAAGGAAGGAAGGAAGGCAGAAAAGAAGGAAGCACACCTGAAAATTATCCACCATATTCCTACAGAACAGCTAACAGGGGGTTCTGACTTCTGGATGGAGACAATGGGGACGGAAAGGCACAAACAGGGCATGGCAAATCAAATAGGAGTCTGTCTGGCTATTTGGGTGGGGGGGGGGGGAAGGGGCAGGATAAACTACTAGGATGGATGCGTAAACGGGCTGATGGCATGCAGGAGCGCGTGGGGAGAGATGGGCGCCTGGAGGGAGATCTCTGGGCCCGGCTGCTTCCCCTCCAGCCCTTGCTAGGAGGCCACGGCCGCCAGGTCGCCCCCTCTCCCCTTCCCCAGCCGGCTGGACCAGCCACGGGGGCGAGGAGCCCACCTGCGGCCTCGCCCATCCTGCAGTCGCCGCCGGCGCCCGCGGCTCCGTCGCCCGACGCCGCCACCTCCTCCGGCTGCTGCTGCTCTCCGTGCGCTCGGGAGCCGCTCATCTCGGCCCGCCCGGCCGCCTCCGATCCCGGAGGATGGAGGAAGAGGAGGAGGCAAGCGGCGGCCAGACGAGCGGTGGGCTGCCGAGAGCGGCTCCCACCCGGCCGCAGCAGGGACCTCTGGTGTCGGGAGGGCGGCTGCCGCCGATGGAAGGAGAAGGCGCTGCGCCCCCGTGCGCCCTGGCTCCGGAGCGCACCTGGAGACGGAGGGATGGAGAGCCAGGAAGGAGGGGGGAGGCAAGCGGGCCAAGCCAGGACGAAGGAGGAGCCCTGCTTTTAGGAGCCCCCCCCCAAAAAAAAACCCCGGACCTTTTGCAAACCGACACATTTCATTTTTTAAAAAAATGTTGCATTTATATTAGCCCACCTTTCGTCCAAGGAGCAAGGCAGTGTACATTTAATTTTGGTTAAAAAAATATTGCATTTGTATTGGGGGGCAGGGAGGGGCACCTGCCCTCCGATCAATAATAATCAATAAAGATACATAGCAAACTGAGGTTCTGCCCCTCCAACAAAGGCCTCCTCCCCAATTCCTGGCTACGCCCATGTTTATATCCCAATTTTCCGCACCCCAAGGAGCTCACTGTACCTGGTTCTTCCCCGCCACATTTAATAATAGAACTGTAGAGTTGGAGGGGACCCTGAGGATCATCTAGTCCAACCCCCTGCAATGCAGGAATATGCAGCTGCCCCATATGGGAATCCCTACAACAATATACTGTATATATTTATTTAAATGTTGCATTTATATTATTCCACCTTTCCTCCAAGAAGCTCAAGGCAGTGTACTTTTCATCTATGCTCTTAATTTTATTTCTTGCATTTATATCCTAACGTTTCCCCCCAAGGAGCTCAAGGTGGCATACCTGGTTCTTCCCCATCACACCTAATCCCCACAACTACCTTGTGAGGTAGGTAAGGTTGAGAGTCAGCGACTGGCCCCCAAGGTCACCCAGGGTGTTTCAGGACCAAGTACATATGGTTCAGGGTTACATACGCTTCAGGTTACAGACTCCGCTAACCCAGAAATATTACCTCGGGTTAAGAACTTTGCTTCAGGATGAGAACAGAAATTGTGCTCCAGCAGCGCAGCGGCAGCAGGAGGCCCCATTAGCTAAAGTGGTGCTTCAGGTTAAGAACAATTTCAGGTTAAGAACGGACCTCCGGAACAAATTAAGTACTTAACCCGAGGTACCACTGTAGAGTTTTGAACTCTGGTCTCCTAGGTTGAGCACTCTCCCCATAGCATCATACTAACTTTACCTGAAAGGTAGGTTAGAAATCTGTAACAATCTTAATCGCAATCTATTTTTAAGGAGAGGGGCTCCCCTTAGATGGATTCCCAAATTGCAAACAAAGTTGCCCATCTATGTTATCATCTCCTGCGCCAGTGCACATCTAGATACAGTGGTACCTCGGGTTAAGAACTTAATTCGTTCTGGAGGTCCATTCTTAACCTGAAACTGTTCTTAACCTGAAGTACCGCTTTAGCTAATGGGGCCTCCCGCTGCCGGCGTGCAATTTCTGTTCTCATCCTGAAGCAAAGTTCTTAACCTGAGGTACTATTTCTGGGTTAGCCGAGTCTGTAACCTGAAGCGTCTGTAACCCGAGGTACCACTGTACCACTTTGAAACTGTGGGAATAAACACAAGAGGCTGCCTTATCCTAAGTCAAACTGTTGGTCCATCTAACTCAACATGATTTTAGCAAGGGTTTCTCTCCCAGTTCTGTTGCTAGGGATTGACCTGTTCTACCACAGAGCTACAGCCCTTATTATCATACTGTAAGACTTCACACAGGACCTATGTGACCTCCTAGCTTCCAGTTCTTAATTTGATACAGAACTGCAACCTGAAAGAAGTAACTGAAGCTTATTTTATTATTATTATTAATAATATTATTTTAAAAATACTAAATTTGTATGCTGCCCTATACATGCAGGTCTCAGGATGGTTCACAGGATAAAATCAGAATATAAAATCACAAAATCAAAACAAAAACAACCCAATAAACCCCCAACCAAATAAACTCCATATTGCATATAATATAAAAATAGATTATATTATTGCATTTCTGTTCCCACTTTCGTGCAAGGAGTTCAAGGCAGCGTACCTGCTTCTCATTTTATCCCCATAGTAACCCTGTGAGGTAGGCTAGGCTGAGAGAAAGTTGACTGACCCAAAGTCGCCTAGTGAGCTTCGTGGCTGAGGGGGGATTTGAACTCTGGCCTTCTGGGTCCTAATCTGGCACTCTGACCACTAGACCACACAGTCTTACAGACTTCAGAACATGGTGTTACTATTGGTTCGTACAACGCACCCTTCAGGGCTTTTTTTCCAGCCAGAACTCACTGGAACTCAGTTCCGGCACCTCTCAGGTGGGTGCCATTGCCATTATAAGAGAACAAGGGAGGTGTTCATGGGGAGTTTTGGCCCCTATTTTTCCAGAAAAACAGCAGTGCCACCCTTGCTCTTGTGAGAGCCTAGGACACCTTACATCAAGAAAAAGAAAAAATCCATTACTGAAAACACAAGTAAAATCCCACTGCATTATTATTATTATTTTTATTTATATACTGCCCTATACCTGGAGGTCTCAGGGCGGTTCAAAGAAAAGATCAACATAAAAACCACAATATATATATGTATATATATATATATATATATATATATACACACACACACACACACACACACACACAGAGTGGTACCTCGGGTTACAAACGCTTCAGGTTACAGATGCTTCAGGTTACACACTCCGCTAACCCAGAAATAGTGCTTCAGGTTAAGAACTTTGCTTCAGGATGAGAACAGAAATCGTGCTCCGGCGGCGTGGCAGCAGCAGGAGGCCCCATTGGCTAAAGTGGTGCTTCAGGTTAAGAACAGTTTCAGGTTAAGAACGGACCTCCGGAACGAATTAAGTACGGTACTTAACCCAAGGTACCACTGTATATATAATCATAATAAAAACAACTACCCAATATCCCCCCCCCAAAAAAATAGAGCCACGTTTTAAAAGGGCATAGGATGCCAATCAGATCAACCAAAGGCCTGGTTAAAAAGGAGTGTTTTTGCCTGGCGCCTAAATGAAGGCACCAGGCAAACTTCCCTGGGGAGAGCATTCCACAGATGGGCAGCCACTGCAGAGAAGGCCCGTTCTCATGTTGGCACCCTCCAGACCTCTCAAGGAGGAGGGACACAAATAAGCGCCTCAGAAGAAGCAAATCTACCAAAACAGCCAACAGCACTGTGCAAAGACAACAAGTTACAATGCATCCTAAAGGCCTGCAAAAACAGGTACGTTTTCATCCGTCGCCTAAATGTAAACAAGTGGATAAACAGATCTCTACAGGGAGGGAGCTTCATAGTTGAGATGCCACCATGGAGAAGGCCCTGCTTCATGCAATAACCTCATTGACTGAACTTAGTGAAGTTCCCACGAGCTGGGCCCCTCCTGCAGATATTACCAAATAGGAATCCTGCCTTAAATTGCATCAGACCATTGGTCCATTTAGTTTAGAGTTGTCTTCACTGATTGGCAGCAGCTCATCAGAGTTCCAGACAGGGAACTTTTTGGAAATGGCAAGGAATGAACCCAGGACCTTCTGTGTGCAAAACAGATGAGTTACTGGGTTGGCCAGTGCCAGGGAAGGCATTCTTCGGATATGTGGGGAGTCTTGGACTTTCCATCTAGCGTGTATAGTCAAACCTCAGCTGCCAAATGCCTCCGTTATCATACGTTTTGGCTCCCGAATGCCAAAAACCTGGAAGTAACTACTCCAGTTTTTGAATGATTTTCGGAAGCCAAACGGTTTCCAGAGAGTATTTTTCTTTTTTCTCCATTGACTTTGCTGACCGCCCTTTGATCCTCAGTTGTCAAACGTTTCAGAAGTTCATATTACGGAACTTATTACGTTCGACAACCGAGGTTTGACTGTACCACCAGAAGCAAAGGACTCTTCCTTTTGAGAGATGCACCAGCAGGTTCTCAGGTTTCTTGCAACGTGTTTTATCACATTTAGGAATAAGAAGTCATGCAACTACACATTTGTGGGGTCTTTGCAACAGACTTGTTCTCTCAAGTGAATTGAAATCTATATAATTTGCAATCAGAGCATAGGAACTTTGCAAGTTTGGTACCTGGATGAGCTTAACATAGTTACAGTGGTACCTCGGGTTAAGTACTTAATTCGTTCAGGAGGTCTGTTCTTAACCTGAAACTGTTCTTAACCTGAAGCACCACTTTAGCTAATGGGGCCTCCAGCTGCCGCTGCACGATTTCTGTTCTCATCCTGAAGCAAAGTTCTTAGCCCGAGGTACTATTTCTGGGTTAGCGGAGTCTGTAACCTGAAGCGTATGTAACCCGAGGTACCGCTGTACATTGGGTTCAACCTATATGTGGGGTTGCGCTTTTGCAGCTTAATGTATACTTCACAAGAGGTTGGTTGCTGGAATCTAGAAATATAGAATATGTAAGCAAGTCTTAAAAACTGACGTGTCATCGAACTCCAGCTTCCAGCAGCACCTTTTCTCTCCCATGTGCAGACCACATCAACGACATCACAAGCAGCAACTACTTTACGAAATCTAACATCTTTCCTCTAACACAGACGTAGGTAAGCAATTGCTCACAAGGAGTTATCGGCTCTGCAGTGAGCACAGAACTGGACCTTTGAGGTTTCTTTCAACACTAAAATTCATCACAACTATTAAGGTAGGGTTGCCATACGTCTGGAATTTCCTGTATGTAGCCGGCAATTGGCCTGTCCAGATTTTCATTTTTTGAAATATGGCAACCCTACTATAAGGTAATGGAGCCTGTCACACCTTAGAACCAAGATCTCCAAAAGATTGCCCCATCCCCTATATTCCCAACCAATCACTGTGTTCTGATGGAGCAGGATTCTGACAGATACCACCTGGGTGAATTTACTTAGAAGCACCAGGCTGGAGTGCACACCGTATATTTGGGGAAGCAAAAAATTGTCCGATGATGTTTGCTTGTGCAGGATGATAAACTTGGCTGAGACCCTACCTGCCCGCAGACTGTCTCGCCAGAGTGGTGC